ACCCCAGTTTGGTTTTCAGCTTGTCCCACATTCAGATACTTCTCAGACGTTTGGAGCTCTGACAGTATTTACCATCTTTCTGGCGAACTGTCTTCCGTCATGAGATTATGATTCATACTTGCATGAGATGCCGTCTTTCCCAATGTCTGTTGCAGCAACTTGCACAGCTGCAAGGAAGAAGTGAAAATGAAACGATACCCTGATGAAGGCATGTAATGCTGTAGGCCTATGCTGAGGATTATGAAATCTATCCATATATCACAACTCTAAACCTGCGGTTGGACTGTGTTGATTCTCCTGGCCTTTATGACTCTTACTGACACTTTCCAGTCAGAAGCTTATAATTACAGTACCTGAATGTGGCATAATAACCCAGTACACAGCTTTTATAATAGTATAAATTTCTAAACAGGATAATTAATTTTACCATCCAGAAAATATCAGATGGTGCAACCACACGTTAATAAACATATTTTAAAGTTATTTACGACTGCTGAAAACTTGTATGAACTAGTTTTATTGGACACCTGTACAACCTGTCTCTGTACGCAAGATTATATATATATTAAAGAAATGGGTCTTATTATAAGAATAATGCATTGTCATGGTTTTCCTGGGGTCACACCGCCTGACTTGTTAAACTGAGCATGACCTTTTTTCAGTTTTTATCTTTCAGTATTTGTGAAAAGACTACTGGCATTAGACCATGAAGGTCACTTGGGGTCATAATGGAGTACCTTACCCGCACTTTTTTAAAAGGTGGAATAATAGTCCTTTTCATGTGTTTGCTGTGTATCATTCAAGCTTAGCTCTTTGCCACTTGTTGTCAAATGCATATTCCCGTAAGATGTCTGCATAATCTTTGTGCACATTTGCTGGTGATTAGAATTGACGGCTCGCAGCAGGTGTTCGGAAAAGACACAGGCACCCTGTTCTGCTGTGACTGGTTAAGCCAAGCTTACCATTGACCTGCTGTTTAGTGTACGCAACCTCAAGTTCCCCTCAACACAAACGTCAACACAGCTAGTCTCCTCGAGTCGCGCCATGGAGGATAGGAAGCGCTGTTGCTTAGCCAGGGCTAGGTGTTTTGACAGGTCTGTGGAAGCCTCTCAGTAGGAGTCTGTCCTGCGCTTGGTGGAGTTTGGTGACGGTCCTGTAATGGGCAGTAGGAGCTGGGTCACTAGGCTTGTCCCAGGGAGAACGGAGGGGCACATGCATCGCCACAGAGGAGAGAGGGTCATCAAAAAGATCGAGATGTCCCTGTTCAGGAAGTGTTTTGAGAGTTACAAAAAGAAGAAGAAGAACAAGAGGTAGGGTACGGCTTTGTGTTGTGAAACGTTGTGTAAATGAAAGGCTCTGGTAGTTTTTTTTAGGGATTAATAAGCTTTGTGTGGTTTTCTATCTGTAGGTCTGAAAGTTTTATCTTGCTCTCCCTATAGTATGTTTTAGGGTGGAGTTTGTGTTTTTATTTTTCATTTAAATATTTTAAAATCCTCCGGTAGCTGTGGACAGTTTACGTGAATGTATTTTCATTAAAGAAAGCTGAATCGCTTCCCTCTTCCCTCGCTGACTGCATTGTGGGCTTGTCGCTAAAACACACACAGGTTGAGGTGCAAAGAGGGAAAGTGTGTGCAGAGCTGTAAACCATTTCTGAGCCCAAAAGTGGCCTCATTTTTATTTATTTATTTTTTTTTAATAAACGTAATGATGTCCTGCGCTTTCAGTACACTACATTTTTTTTTCTTTTTTTTATCAACCGTTATATCTCCCGCTCAGGGTGCTCTCAGGTGTGTGACTGTGGGCGTTATATAATCCGTTACTGCGCCACACATCAACAATCGTGTTGGATGTCACTCAACTTATTTGCATAAAGCTCGTCCAGAAGGAGAGAGAAGAGAAATCAGGGTGTGCAACAGTTTGATATGTCAGTTATGTGAATATCTCACCGAGCTGTGGCACATCACAACATGCAGTGTTTCATGTAAAGCAAAAATTTCAAATAAAAAGGCAAATCATTTTGCATGACGTCGTTGTCCACGTCACAAATACGCTGCTTAAAATTTCAGCAGCCCCAACTTAAAACACCTTCCTGCATCTGCTGTCTTTTATTTACATTTGTTGGCCTCAACCCAACTTGCAAACGTGTCCAATTCACATTCTGTTTGTGACATAAACACGGAAGTGTAAAAGCAAACAAGTGTAGTAAATAGTTGTCAAATAACCGCAACCAGCTCAAATAGTTTTGATCAGGTTCTTATGTAATAATTGTAAGAGGCCAGTATAAAACTAAAGAACCAAACCACGACTGGCTGATCGATTACATGTTTACAGTTCTTTACATTCATAAAGCCCACACAGGTACATGTACAGTCATAGGCGAGTTTACAAGTTTTGTTGATTTGCTGAGTGAAACTAAGTTAACACATTTATTAAACACACGTAACTTTTTTTCTAGTCACTTTTTGTATTTGATTCTCCAATATGCCAGTATGTTAAATTCAGCAAATCAACAGTAACCGTGCATTGAAATGTGCAGAAGTGTGTTCTCTGTGGAGGTTGTGTTCACTTACTTACTTTCACATAGAAAATCTACAAAACATGTAACTTGACCAGGGGTGCTCAAACTTTTGCACACGACTGTATATATGATACATTTTCCATGTGTCATTAGTCTTCTAAAGCTTTGGAAGACTCCTAAATGTTGAACCACAGCTAGTCGGGGAGATAAAGCGTAACGACGTCTAACTTGCGTGAGTAGATATGTGTGTAGATAACCATCCTCTCTGAAGACTCTGTGTAGAACACTGAGCTCTCTCGACAGACCCCACAACACCCCACCCCACCCAGGCCTCGGTAGGATGTATATAATTTTTAGTAGGAGAACCCGTGAGCTGAGCACTGTTCAGGAAAGCTTTGTCTGGACGTTCTTAATGCGAGTCCGTACTTTGTGTGTGATTGCGTATGTGTGCGTGCTTGCATGTGAGGCAGGCTCTGAGGCGAGGAAGTACGTGAGATAAGGAGATGCCTTCTGAAAAAGAAAGGGAAAGTCTATGGTAAATAAAGCCGGTTTTTCGGCTTGGCAGCCGGACTCCGGATATGCAGCATGGCCCTGTTTGCATTCTTTCAACGGTTGACGCAGTTTTGGAGACTTTCCAAGCATTTTGTTTGCCCCACACACACACACACACACACACACAACCCCCCTTTCCTGGCTGTGCGCAGTTTGGATGCCAAAGTCCATTCACTCAAATTCTCAGAAAGAACAGATTTCTGTCAAGTCATTGTCATTCACTGTTATGATGACTCTTTTACCATAAGCAAGCCATGGAGGCGCTGATTGACGCGTGTGAGCAAGTTTAGACGCGTGATACAGGCCTAAAGATCCAACAAGTAAATCATTTTTTGAGTTTAGTCCTGTTACAGCAATCCTGGAAAGTTCTAAAGAACAGGTAGAGCTGGGCGATATGGAAATAATATCATATCACATTACTATAAGAGCTGTTCATGATACACAATATGGCAGTATTCATTTTTTTTACATCTTATAAGTTGGAACAGACAAAAAGGGACCAGAAGTGGAAAAAAAAACAAAAAAAACTAACAAAAACAATCAATACAATGATTTGTATTAAACATTCACATCCTGTGCTGCAAAAAAATCCAGTTATACAGCACTAATTTTGCTCTCTTTGTAGTGAAATATGCAGCTGGTCAGTGTTTTAAGTACAGACAGTATCACCAATATACACACGAAGCATGTTGCGATTGTGATTTATCACGATAACGATAGATATTGCCATATTGCCCAGCTCTAAGAACAGGCAGTTTGCATATCATTATAATAGTGACAAACCATGACTATCAAAGCTAGGCCTACAGTTCAGGCCATAAATGTCAAAACTCGGTCAAAACATGAGGAAAAACCCACCTCTGCCATAATGCTAACATCTACTAGCGTCCCTATGAGATTCTAGTAGTTTGTCAGTGCTAAGCTAACATTGCATGAACGTTTTTTTGGCTGGTCTACATTAAACAGACGTTTGAAGCTTCTAAAAGATGCTCCATGTTTTACCTGAATCCTGTGACAGACATAACAGCATATATTTTACCTTGTAGCAGATTCACAGTAACTGCTGATTAGGCGGCCTAGTCAGTGAGGGCATATCTATTACATGCAGAAGGTCTAAAGTGACATTTTTCTCACGAAAATTCGTCCTGCCCACTGGAAATCAAAATGTGATTGGCTTAGCTTTACATACCTAGATACCAATCTAGAACTACAATTTTCCCCCTGGTATTTCAAAAATGTAACCCTTTTTTTTTCCATCCAAAACTTATAAACAATGAAACAAGAGTGGTACTTTAAACTCTGTGCTTGCAGGGTTCAAATACAAGCAGGTTCTTTTGCATGAAAATGGAATGGTTTACTATCCTGAAATAATGACTTATTGTCTTGAAATATTGACTTAGTATCTCAAAATAATGACTTATCAAAACTTTAACTTAATATGTTGAAAATAATGAGTTATTTAATTTCAAGAACATAAAGCAGTAGTTCCAGATATTAAGTAATAATTCAAGAAAATAAGTTATTTTAAGATATTATGTCAACATTTTGTGAAAATAAGTCTTTATTTTCTTTGTTTTGTTTTTTCTTTATTTAAGTCAGAATCCACATATTGCTGCCAGAAACAGAGAAAAACATTCCATACATTTTTCTGTGACCAATTCAAATCAAGCAACACCCAATGTCTGGTTCCCATGTGTTTCCTTGTGTGTATACCCAGTAGGTTTAGCACCACCTAATGTTGCAAACTGTGCAACCTGGCATATACGCATACATAAACATCTCATAATTTAACAAAATATCTGTACCTATTATAATGGTACATTTGGACAGTCCTCATATACCCATGACACTCACATGTTAAACAGATTAGTTAAAATGGAATGTAAGCCTATGGACAGCTTATAATTAGACTTTTTATTTTGTTCATCAGGATGGAGGCCTCGTGTCTGGAGCTGGCTCTGGAGGGCGAGCGCCTGTGTAAAGTGGGTGATTACCGGGCGGGCGTCTCCTTCTTCGAGTCGGCCATCCAGGTGGGCACGGAGGACCTGCAGATCCTCAGTGCCATCTACAGTCAGCTGGGCAATGCCTACTTCCACTTACAGGACTACACTAAAGCGCTGGAGTTCCACCGCCATGACCTCACTCTCACCAGGTGTGTTTAGAGAACGCTCTACAGCCGCTGTTCACTGCACTCTGATTTTCTGTGGTTTAAAGGATACCAATGCATCAGCAAGAGAAGGAGTTTCCTCTGCCCAATCCAAAATCCTACCTTGTGCTCTGTGTATTTTGATGAATGTGTGCTTTTATTATGTATCAGGTCAAAGTTGTTAGAGGATTGATTTGATGTAATATGAATCTTTTCTAAAATTAGATCAAAATTAGATAAAAAATGGACAGATGTTGCATAGCTAAAAACATTAGTGGCAGCCCTCTTGAAATCTGAATTTTTTTAGTGATTTATAATGTCATACAGTGTCATAAATCACATAAGCAAGTGTATTTGAGATTACTTAAAGCTGTGCTTGAAGTAATGTAAGTTTTGGGGATTTGGAGGCCTCTGTGGTGGAAATGTGCGGAAGAACATTTTGTAGTGTGGGTAGAGTGTGAGTGCAGACGTAGGTGAGGTTGATTGTTTAGACAGAGGGGCTATTTTTAACAGATGCCAAAAGTCTGATAAATCAATGCGAATACAGTTAATTCAGTATAATTAGTGTTTTGAACAAGACAAGCTATCCAACCAAAAACCTTAAATGTATTAATCATAATAAATATGATTAGTGAAAAGATCATGTTAAACATGACAAATTTATTTTTGACCACAAAGCAGAAGAAGAAATATCCAGACATTAGAAGTTAAATGCACATCATGGATGGATCTGCATATAAAAACTCGGTTGAATGTATATAGAGGGATGTGGATTTCTGTCTGTTCACTTTAGGAGACTTTAGTCAGAACACAGTGTTAAAACTAACCCCTCCGTGTGGAGGCTGTACTTAGTTACTATAGGAAAATGAGAAGAAGCATCTTCTCCTATTTAAATGTATAAAATATCCATGTTACATTGACATTATATTAGTTTATGCCTCGCTCCACTTTAGTACAGTGAAAAACTAAAGCAACTTTCAGTTACTGAACATGCCTTTGCTGATGGACTGCGATTGGGGTAAGGGGGAAAATTGTATACATTAGATTTTTCACTATAATCTGAATATATATAACTTTTTTGTTTTTATACATGTATTTTTTTCTCAGGACTATTGGGGATCAACTGGGAGAAGCCAAAGCTAGTGGCAACCTTGGAAACACACTGAAGGTTCTGGGTCGATATGACGAGGCAGCAGCTTGTTGCCAGAGACACCTGGACATTTCTAGAATGCTTCATGACAAGGTGAACGCTGTTCTTGTTTTTTATTTTTGTTTTTTTGTTTATAGCACTCGGTCAAAGGAAATGACACATCCTACCTGTACAGCAGTGGTTCCCTACCTGGTCCACAGGAACCCCCATTTTTGCTCAAACCCCACTTTCTAACACGTAGGGAAGAAGGAAAAACATGGACCATCGTGGGAACCATGAGAACCAGATTGTGGCCCACTGCTCTACAGGGAACAAACTTAAATAGTGGATTTTTCTTCTAAATTTACTGCAGAATTTTGATTTATTTTATTTTTAGTTTTAACATATTGGAAAAAATAAAGCATAATATAGTAACTGTAAACCTAGTAAACTTTTGCACAGGCCACATTTTATGTCTAGTTTTTCTTCTATTATGTTAAATTAGGCAAATATGCAGTAATTGTGTATTCACATGTGCAGAGGTGTGTTTTCTGTAGAGGATGTGGTGACTTATTTACACTTACAAAATCAACAAAGCATGTAATTTTACCAGGTGCGACCAAACATTTGCATATTCCTGTACTAGCAAATGCTGTGCAGTAGTTGTTCAGTTTAAATCCTTTTTTAAGCATTCTAAGACCATGACTGAAGACTATTTTAGTAGTCCATAAACTTAGTTTAAGTGCTAGGCGTTGATCCATTTTAGATGTGTAATCAGTAGTGGCTGTTTTTCTCTGGAATTAACTGGTTTGTGTGTGTGTGTTGTGTGTGTGTGTTTGTGGTATGGTAGGTGGGGCAGGCACGAGCGCTGTATAATTATGGGAATGTGTACCACGCCAAGGGGAAGAACATATGCTGGAGTGGTATTGACCCGGGAGACTTCCCTGAGGAGGCACGCATTGCTCTAAAGAAAGCTACGGAGTACTATGAGTAAGTGTGTGGAGAAGTGTGTGCTTTGTTTCTTTGTATGAACTTGTCAGCTTTCATTCACTGGAAACAGAGCAAGCAGATAGGGTCTTTATACAACGATTTGCTGAGCAGAACAAAAACACATATGTCATTAACTTTTAAAAAAAAACAAAAACAGACATGTTCTGCAGAATCTGTCTGTGCATGATTCATGATTCAGTGAGTCAAATAGTGTGGGTGCAAGAGTTAGTTCACTGAGTCACTGAATCAGTTCACATTCCTGCCAGTTCAATTACATTAGTATTCTAGTAGTAATCGCTCCTGTGCTGCCCACAAATAGGTACAGTACTGAGTAAAAGTCAGAGACTGCCCTTCATTAATGAAATTTCCAGTCAAAACAGCCACTGAGTACAAGTTATTCACATCTCAGCTTCAGGAAAATTATTTTACAGACAATTACACAGAAACTTTAACAACTAAATATAACATCAGTTTTTTCAGTATTTAGTGTGTCCACTCTTTACTTTATTACAGCTTCTGTTCTTTTCAGGAGACTCACTTTTAGTTTTTCACAGAAATCTGCAAGGATATTTTTCCACACCTCCACAATTCAAGTCTTAGAAGTTGGTTGCACTTTATGCCTCTCATGATCCACATAATCTCAAACACATTCAATGCAGTTGAGGTATGGACTCTGGGCTGGTCAGTTTAATGTTCTGATCACCAGCAACTTCTTTGTTTTTCTTCTTTTTTATCTACTTTTCTCAGTAAGAACTTCTTGAAAGCTACACGTCCTTTAAGTGTCATAGCACTGAGTTGTCTTCTCACAGTGGAAGGATGGACAGAAGCACCTGTGGATGTTTTCAGATCTGAAGCAGCTTGATTTTCTCCTCTCTCTCAAAGATGAAAGCTTTAAGTGCTGTTTATCTGAACGGGACAGTTTTGGTGGTCTGCCATGTCTTGCATGGTTGTCATAGTTTCTTTATTTCTGTTAATAATTACTTTTTTTTGTATGACTTAGCTTTCTTATACAGTTATGATTTTATTTTCTAATTTGCTTAGAAAGATCTCCTGAAACAAATAAACAACTTGTACTTAATGGCCATTTTGACCAGAAATTGTTTTTTTTTTGCACAGTATTGTACAAAGTTATTATTATCCAAATTTCTGATATTGCATTACCAAAGTTCGCTACAGAAACAAACCTCTAAACTGAATTGAAGGGTCTGTAAATCAAAGCCACACTTGGATGCAACTTAGTTGTTCACTGAGGCCTTGTTTAATTAGTATTCAGTCTCTGGGTTTAAACCATGGAATCATTCCTCTACTAAATACTGATAACTATATATCTAATTGTGTATCCAATCTTTATGAATTTTCTTGTGTTTAAAGAGCAAATCTGTCCATTGTGAAAGAGTTGGGGGACAGAGCGGCGCAGGGAAGAACGTATGGTAACCTTGGCAACACGCAATACCTGCTCGGGAACTTTCAGAATGCTGTACTTGCCCATGAACAGGTACCACATCTCTCAAAGTGAACTGACATTATCTGCAGTAAATATATGAGCTTTAGAGGGTGTTGCAGTAGCGGTGCCGTCTTATAATATTCAAACAGAGGAAGGAAGAGTAGAGTAAAACTGTACTGCGCTGTAATGTATGATGCATATGCTTTGTTTTGGTTTGCATTTGTAGCGTCTCCTCATCGCTAAGGAGTTCGGAGACCGGGCTGCCGAGAGACGAGCTTACTGCAACCTGGGAAATGCTTACATCTTCCTGGGCCAGTTTGAGGTGGCCGCTGAGCACTACAAGCAAGTTTGATGCTTTTCTGTTTTCCATACATTTAGCATAATTTAGCATAAAGGTCAGCTGGAAAGTCAAAAAGGAATATCTGCTTTTTCACACTACTGTGAGTTTCAGTCTGTGTGGATCATTTTCAAAGAAATTTTAGTTCAACACATTTAGAGGATGTGGTCAGTCATCTTTGGATCTTTTCAATCTTTTGGTCAGGGTATTAAGGCTTTCTGGGGCCCTACCGCATCTGTGCTCTTTTTAAGCATTTGCCATTGACATACGTAAAATGTTTACTGATTTCTCGTGTTTTTGTTTATTCCTAAATATTAAGTTTCCCTTTGTGAAACCTGCTTTTGTATTTTTCTTGTTTGTCCTTGTCCAGAGGTGAAGTTAGGCTTAGTAATATGAGCATAGCTAACTGACAGCAGCTGTCTTTGTCATAAGTCATCTAAAGATTTTGCAGTAAATTCACAGATGACCTAAAAAGACAAATCTCGATCGATGCTGGCATGTTTATTAGTAGTCTTGGTAATGGGGCCCCCTGGTGGTCAGGGCCCTGCGCTGCAGCACCTAAAGCACATTAAGTTAGAACACAGCCTGTTTGATGGTGTTGATAGAATAGTTTTGACATGGTGGTTTTTTGTGTTGGGGTTTTTGTGCAGACGGACACTGCAGTTGGCCCGTCAGCTGAGGGACCGGGCAGTGGAAGCTCAGGCCTGTTACAGCCTGGGCAACACATACACACTGCTGCAGGACTATGAGAGAGCCATCGACTACCACCTCAAACACCTCATCATTGCTCAGGACTTAAAGGACAGGTACAAACATCCTTGTAGAGGTGCACATTTTGGCAAATTCTTTTGAGCCGTTACTGATAGTCATTAGTCGGACAAGTAATCATTAAGTCCAAAATCAAGGATGCAAGCCATCAGAATATCAGGAATAAAACAGATAGTTCTGGTTCTGAAATCTGGCAGAGCCATGTTCAAAACCACTTTATAATACTTGATATACACACGCACACATCATCTGAATTCTGTATTAGTGCACTGAGATATTAAGTGTTCCTTCTATGGAGTGAGGAATGTAGTACTGATAGGTGGGGCCAGAAATCAGCACATAAATGAAGTGAATGGCCTGAAATGGTACCAAACATCCCCTACATAAAAACCCAGTTTTGTTTAAGCAGAGGGGCTGAAACTGTACGTTCATGATTACTTGACTGACCAAATCCAAAAAAGTAGATGAAGTGACTGGAGTACAGAATGATGGGCTACTGAAAGATCTACATTCTAAATGTAAATTAAGTTATATTTAACACTCATTAATAGCCCAAGTTTAAACGAACATAAACGCTATCAGCATGTCTAGCTTTGGCTCAGTGTCCCTCAGGAGCTCTCTATAATTTTACACACTCGTAAGTAGGGGTGTGGGAAAAAATCGATTCTCAGATGCATTGCGATGCAGACGTGAACGATTCTGAATCGATTCACAAAAGTCAAAAATCGATTTTCTAAATATTTAATTTATACTGTAATGTTGACGGAACGCAAAGGGCGGAACCTGGAAGTGGGTAAGTGCAGCGCCCGGGCAGTCTGTGGCGGCACATAACAAAAACACTACTGGATGAGTGAGAAATCCGACCGGCTCCCTCTGCATTAAAAGCCAGGTTAGGTCAGGATTCACAACACAAATGATAAGAAGAGCCATTTTGACCTTTCAACAAAAATCAAACCACCTCGGCAGCCACGACATTTATGTCCAGTATGTCGCAGTATGTGTTAATGTCCTGCTATAAGTTAGGTAAAAATATAAACGAAAACGCGGATTTACTTCGCTCTGCTTTAAGCTTTAGCTATAGCCGCTTTCCTTCCATCTCCACCAGAAAACTTTTCCTCTAAAGTAGATCAGTTTCTTTAAAACGTCTCTCAAAGTTTTACGAGGCTGAAGTCGCTTCTTTAAGTCGCTCCAGCTTCTTGTTCGAATTTTCCTGTTCCACCTTAAATTCTGACTGAGGTGCCGTATGTAAACGCGGCACCATTTATGGTGGAACGGGAAAATTTGAAAGAGAAGCGACTTCATCTTCACAGCTTTTTAGTGTTTGACAGTCTTTTTGACAGCTATTTTCTTTAGCTTGCCAGGAAACCAACAGCAGCGCTTATGAATGCGAATGACGCATCGTTGCTATGTGACCTGCAGTCTGCACGGCAATTCTCAGTCGTTGCGAAACAGGGCTTTCACGCTATGTTGCACACGTCCCGAAGATATTTTACTGACACAGCGACCCCCCCGTCTCTACAATGAGACCAAAACCTAAGTTATAAAATCACTAAAGAAAACGGGCAGGGTGGCTGTAACATGTGCATGGACATCTATCATCACTGGATCTTATTTCACCGTAACTGCGCATTTTATCACAGATGAGTGGCAGCAGCGTCTCATGTGCTCCAAGCAATAGCAGTGAATGAGAGCCTTCTAGTTTGCTTGCCACATCACTTCCATTTGATTTATTAATAAAAGATATTGGACATAAATGCATTATGGATCATTACAAATACTTTGCTTTAACAGTACCAAGTCCTCAGACAGTGAGAAAATAGAAATCATGTATAGAAAAAAAAGATGCATCGAGATGCATCGATAATCGTTTTATAATCGCATCGCAGCCCTCTGAATCGTAATCGAATTGTGAGGTGCCTAGAGATTCCCACCCCTACTCATGAGTGATTTCCTCTCACCACTGTGCATCACACTTTCTCTCTAAGGACACAGACGAAATAACTGTCTGTCTTAACCACTTGCAGATACTTGCATTTGATATGGAACATTGTTGCAGTTGTGTTATCATCTTCTGAAAAAGTGGTACCAAATTTTTAGCTGTGTGCTTCATTTTTAGTAAGCTTGTCTAGCAAAACCGTTCAACAGCTTTTCTCAATTTTTTTAAAACTTTTTTTCTCACTTTTTCAACATTTTATGAGGTAACCTAAAGAACATTAAAGTTTACCAGTGATTTAATGCTTAAAGTGTATTTTGGGGCCACTGTATCATTTGTTTAAATAATCTTCTATTCATCACCTTTTCTTCCTTTCACAATCATTAAACTATTGCTAAAGGTTTGAGTGCTGACATCACTACACGGGGGGGGCAAAGTTTGGGATACAGCAAGTAGTGCTTAGGTCAGAAAAATGTCAAGATCCAGAGAGTTTTCTATTTAAAATCTATACTAATGAGGTTATTGCAAACCAGCTAAAAAAATGATGGGCAGCGTAAACATCAGCCTACTGTTGTGAAGTAATGATGTTCTCGACACAACAAGCTCTCAGGACCAAAAATAAGTCGAGACATGACCACAAACCACCCATTATCACTTCCTCAGACACCTCAGCGAAAAACACAACCCCTGACCACCAACCAAAACACACACACACACACACACACACACACACACATATACACACACACACACACATAAAACACACACCATTATTCTGTCCTTTCTGTTGTAATGTTTTGGTGTGAGGAGGATTGTGATGATTGTCTTTCAGGCTATAAAGGCCACAGGTATTTATTTCTGTATGTTGTGCACTTTTCTTACTTCATTTAGTGACTCTCTTTGGTGGTCTCTTTCCTCTCCATTTGTGTGTGTATAGGATAGGAGAAGGCAGAGCCTGCTGGAGTTTAGGGAACGCCCACACTGCTCTGGGAAACCATGAACAGGCCTTACATTTTGCTCAGAGACATCTGGAGATTTCCAAAGAGGTGTGTGTGTTTATGTATGTGTTTATGTATATGTTTACGTGTGTGTGTGTGTGTGTGTGTGTGTGTGTGTGTGTCTTTTGACCATTTAAGTGATAAGACCTCTGGAATGAGATTTCATCTCCTGCAGGAAATGCTTTGTTTAGAGTCCGGCTGAGCACTACTCAGTGCTTTCTTACATCACGCATTACCAGTTTATCTGCCTCTGTATTATGTAGTGACTATTAAGCTGTGGTCACACTGGACTGTGGCCTCACTGTTTTCTTTGCCAGGCTATAGCAAAAGCCATACAGGGATGGGCAGTCCTGGTGTGTTGTGGTTTTAGAGGGAACATGGTATTCAGTGAATCGCTAAAGTTAGCTTTTTTTTTTTGTTGTTGTAAATGTAAGTGACAAGTGACATTGTTGACTGAGGGGCAATGTGCTGTTTAGTTTTTGTTTTTTTCTTTTCTTTTTGTTTGTTTGTTTTTTTTTCCAGAAAGAAGAAATCCAGGTGAATACGTTTTTCACCAGGCTGGACGATTAAGGGTGTTTTTTTTCTCTGACACCATCCCTTTTTATATATATATATATATATATATATATATATATATATATATATATATATATATATATATAAAATGCAAAACACATTTTTGTTCCCATTTCACTGCAGTTTGATAAAAACTCCAGGATTTTTCCTAGAAATGTGTCACACTGCTACAGGCGAATGGTGCTAACACCAGATACTAATGTTAGGATTCTTTTTGTTTGTGTTTTGCAGGGACTCAGTAAAGTCTTTTCAGTAAAAAAGTGTTGTGTTTATATTTTCGTTTAATCTAGTAAACTGCTTTTTTACCCTGCTAAAAATCGCAGGACAGTCGTTTCAAAGTTCTGTCTGTCTGTCTGTCAGATTGGGGACCGCAGTGGGGAACTGACAGCCAGAATGAACATGTCGGACCTGCAGCTGGTGTTGGGTCTGAAACAGAACAACACCACCAACAGCAACAGCAACAGCTCCGACTGCACGGATGGCCATCCCAACAATAACAGCAGTTCACCAGGTAACTTCATTCATTCGAGCACCGGTATATCCCTCATTCCTATTTCATTCTTTTCCATTTCTCCTTTTTCCCTCACATAAAGCATCTTTTTAGCTTGCTGCTAACACAACGTCAACTGCTATTTCTGTTATGTCAAGACACCTACACGAATTAGCATTACGCTGAGTGACTGAGGGAAGCTGGCTTTTAAGGTTCTGACAAAGAGCTGATGGATCAAATCAGAGTTTTTAGAACATTGGAACATTTTCCCTGTCAGGTCTCAGAACCAACTAGCTGAAAAGTGTTTTCTGCACCAGACAAGTATTTGATTAAAACAAGGCTGCTACCCACAGCACCTGACGCTTTTTTGCAGGAAATTAACTGACATCTGTGTGGTTCTGGCTCTGCAGGCACAAAACCCAGATCAGGCCGCAGACACAGCATGGAGAACATGGAGCTCATGAAATTAAGTCGTGACAAGAGTCCTGTGAGTCCACACAACATACACAACATTACATGTACACATAACTACACCAGTCCAAAGAGAGTTATGATGTAAATCAGATCATTCCTTTTGCCAGTAATGTGTGTTGTGCCGTTCTGCTCCTTAATTCCGTGTCAGCAGCGAAAGACCTGATCTTTGAACAGTGGATACTTGAGTACACCAGTTTGCAGGACAGTTAGAAGAGTTAACTAGTGAGCTATTTTCTGTGTTGACATTATGGAGAGTAGAAAGGAGTTTGAGGAACAAAGAATGAGAATAGACTGAAACACAAAATAAGATCAAGGCATCTTCTGCCTTGTGATATTGCTTTCATTTTCTGAAATCAGATGTCACTTTTTCATTAAATCGGATGCCTTTTCATTTCTTCAGGCTTCAAAATACTATTTAGAAACTGCTTAAAACCAAACATTAAGATATTAAAATCAGTAATATCAATATTGAATGATGAGGAAAAATATACAGGGATTTTTGGCTATATTGTTTAGTCCTGCATTACAAAGTGATAGAAACACATGGAAACACAATCAGTAACCGTTATCTTCCACACATGGTTTGCTTGCGTCTTTGCCTACCAGGGGCCAGCCAGGGAGGAGGACACTTCCCCTAAGCAGGCCAAAACTTCCCCCTTAGCCAAAACATCCTCCAAACTGTTCTTCATCAGTCGCTTTAAGGGAAAGAAACAGAAGGCCAATGGAACCAGCCCCACTAAAATGAGCCCGACCAACAGCACCAGTCCACGTACACCTGAACTGGATCCAAAGGTGCTTAATTATTCGTCCTTTGATTCTCTTCTTCTATCCTTCCATTCACCCATTATTCATTCATGCGGTTATTATTTTTGACACAGTCTCAGAATCTAGCAGTTCCCCTTCCTGCTACTTGATTTACTAGTTAGCAAAGAAGTCTTTAACAAATCACTATTCATAGTTTGTCAAATGCTGTAAAGAAGTTGAGTTTGACTTCTAGACCTTTTGCCTCTTCCTTGACTCTAGCACGCGCCAGACACTCTGGGCGACGAGGGCTTTTTTGATCTTCTTAGCCGCTTCCAAGGCAACCGCATGGACGACCAAAGGTGCTCGTTGGAGGGCGGCTTAAGTCGCACCCCCACACCCTCCTCTCCTTGTGAAACCCCGCCTGTAGCCAGCAGGAAATGTGAGTTAGCCTGACCCTGTGACCTTGGTGACCTTTGTGTTACATGAATACCTGTAGGGCAGATCGTCTTAAGGTAAATAAAGCCATGGCCTGGGTTAAAAGGGATTTTCAGTGAAGAATAAGTGTTAGAGTGCAAGTCTGTCCAGGACTTGGCTTAACTTGGTGACTGATAAAGCGCCTCTTAGGCTACGTTCATATTACCGGGTCGAAGTGCCACAAATCCGATTTTTTGCCCTACTGTGACTCAGATCTGATGTTTTCAGGGCTGTGTGGACATGCAAATCTGATCTTTTCAAATCCAACCTGAGCCACTTTCATATGTGGTCCTAGATCGGATACGTATCCGATTCATGGCCATGCGACCTTAATGTGATGCTCAGATCGGAATTCATGTGCTTTTTTCCACTGCGCATGCACCGTCATTCAGCGTTACCATGGCAGCAGCGCCGAACAGAAGTTAAAGCCTGTAAACGGTGGAAAAGAAACACATTTCACCTTTTTCGCCTTCATCTCGCTCCAATAATGAACAGCTGAGAGCTGATCAGAGTTAATTATCCAAGCAGCGAAGCTCGTTCTGACCATTAGTTTGTTTGCTGATGACGCACGTGATTCGTTCACGTGACGTTACTGAGTAGAATATGCGCATGCGGGTCATTTCAGGATGCTGGTTCGTTCAAATTAATGACAAATTTGAATCACTTACCTAAACAAGTGTGCACCATCCTGTCAAAGAGATCGGATTTGAGCAAAAAATCGGATTTGAGCAATGAGGCGTGTAATGTGAACGTAGCTTCAGTGTTCTTACTGTTGTGTGTTGCTCAGTTTCTTTTGAATCAGTTATTTCAACTGGATTCATAAAGCCTTGCTTAAACATTTTATGAGTGCTTTCACATTACATTTTCTAACATAAAATCAAAAAGCCATATTCAAAACTAGTATAAACAAGTATTTGGAAAACTTTTGTTTTTATTGCTAGTTTAAAATAATAAAATTTAATTGAAATTTAAGCTGAGTCCAGTTTGGAAGTGAAAAGTATTCGCACTTGTAATATGACTGATAAAGACTACAGTCTGTTTAATGCCTTTATACTTTCTCTCTTAGCTATTTCCACATCCGAAGTGGAGGCCTCCGAACAGCCTGGTCATTTCCTAGATCTGCTGGCCAGCTCGCAAGGCAGGCGGCTGGACGAGCAGCGGGCCAGCGTGGTCAGCCTGCCAGGCCTCCGGCTGGACCAGAGCAACAGCCAGGATGTCCTCAGCCAGCTCATAGCCAGTGCTGACAGCAAGGAGCCGGACGATGACTTCTTCGACATGCTCATCAAGTGCCAGGTCAGCAAGAGTGGATTTCAAATGTTCACAGTTTTCCCTTTAGCTCAAATGTAATCAGTCAGCCAAGATGGGTTTGGTGTCTGAAGTTTGCTACTTTAGTTTAGCGGTATAACGCTATTGTAGCTAAGGAGTAATGGGAACTTATACCCCACCAATTAGCATCATGCATTGTGCATTAAAACGTGGGGAATTGTGTTCTTTGCCGTGGAACTTAATTTAGCTTATTTTCAACGTTTGCCTATAAATGTAAGCCAGTAAATTTATCACAGATTTGATTTGCATTAAACAGTTCATTCACAATAAATCTTCTCGCAGGGCTCCCGGCTGGATGACCAGAGGTGTGCCCCTCCCCCTCCTCCGACGCGAGGCCCCACTGTACCAGATGAAGATTTCTTTAGCCTCATCCTTCGTTCGCAGGCCAAACGCATGGACGAGCAACGCGTCATACTGCCCTCTGACCCCAGCCCCACGCAGCTCAATCCAGACTGAGGCCGCACATGAGAGGAAGCACCCGAACAGAGAAGGAGGGCTCCAGCACCCAGAGGGGCTCATGAATTTCCTCAGTTCCTCAATGACAGTAAAGAAGGCCTTGCTCCAGTGAAAAATCAAAGCATCCCAATGTAGCAGTGGTGTCTGTTTTTCACTACATGAAGGACTAAACAGTTAAAGAACATTAAAACCCTAAAGCCTGATCGGCCACTACAGCCACAGCAGTCCAGTACTATAGCTGTGCTGGAAGGTTAAAATAAATTAGATGATATAAGCAGGAGCTAATCAGCAGTGGGATTTTTTAGGATCTTTTTTAGGATCTCTCTTATTTGCTGTATGGAGACGTGGTGGGGAGTTTAGAGGGGCTTCAGACAAAATGATCACCTGGCCGCCATCTCGTCCTCAGGGTTCTATCATACACTGACTTGTATCTCTTTTCATATCGTTTATATTCCGCTTGCTATCCTGAGGGGTTCCTGGATGTTACAAACTGTTGTCAAATGAAAAGGACAATACACTATTAAGGAAAAAAAGATTTTCATGAACCGTTTTCATGTAATCAGGGATAGTCTGCCCCATGTTTCTTTTTTGACTTGCTTTATGTATTGTTTCATAAGTATGTTTACAAAATTTTAAAACAATATTCTTGAAGATTTTTTTAATGAATTTTAGAAAAAAAGGCTTGAAAACATTTGTCAACATTTGAATTTGTTGTTACACATAAAAAAGGTCATTTGGTAATGTACAATTGCTCGTCTATTTTTACATGGTATTTTAAGCACGGAGAATAAAACAAGTTTCATTGAGGGCCCTGATTTTATCAGATTGTTTTCTTACTCTCTTTATTTTGCAGGCTTCCCTTACAGAAAAGTCACGTATCGCTGCTGTCGGAACAAAACCTTGTATCTCCAAAATGGTAACCTTACAGGAGAAGGAAAAAAACAATGTAAGTTTAATGTCAATGGAACCAGATTTTTTCTAAGTAATTTTGGGCCGTTTCTTTTGGTTCCTTCTTCATGAAATTTAAATACAATGTAAAGAATAACAAGCGTTTTCAAATTATGCCAAACACTGAAAAAAGGTTTTGTCCTGACAGCAGCGATATATTTCACATGTGAAGTGTCTAAAAACCACACCATTACAAGTAAACACATGTAACATTATGTGAAAAATACTGTTGGATCTCGTCAGGGAAAAAAGGTATGATCTTGTGCCGTTTCAGGGCGCAACGTCACATGACTTTTTTTTTGTTTTTTTTGTTTTTTTTTGCTATATCATTTTCCATGTGTGTCAAAAATCGTGAGGTGTCAAAAGCACATGTGATTAGTCAGGTGAAACTCATCTTCATTTTTTCTGAAATGGCTGATGTGGCATTTAAATGTATATTTAACCCCATGAAACGGTTTAAAGTGAACTATTTCCTTAAACTTTTTAGGACGCTTTCTGTTTTGATGGAAGTGAACAGTCACTGTATACATAGTTATTATGTAGTGCTCTTTCTTCCTCTGCGTAAGTTGGAGAGAAGAAAATTGATCTTGAGCAAAGAACTAGCTATTTTAATAGTTCGTGAGAACGAGAACCGTTTTTGGAGCTTTCAGTTGTTTCCTGCTTTAGTTTAAGATGAAGATTTAAGAAAGTTTAAGATTTAGTTTTAGGAAAACGTTTAGTTTTAGGTAAAAATTTTCCTTGTTACTCTTAAAAGTAGTCGATCAAGCAAGACATGTTTGGTGTATAAAGTTTGCTCCTGTAGTTTTGCACTCGAGCTATGAGGCTAATGTAGCTAACAAGTAATAAACACTCATTAGTTAGCATTGTGCAGTTAGCATTGTGCAGACTGCATGCCTGAATCATCACTGGCACAATGAACTCTTGCTTTAAGTTCCACACAATAGAAAACCACCAACTATGGAAGCACTCCCTCTCTCAGTGACTCTGGATGGCGTGGGATGGCACAGATCTCATACGGAGCAGGGGTCAGGGTGACCCCCAGAGAGTAATCCATACTGGGCTTCACCCCGTCAGGCATGAAGAAGCTAAATCTCTGCAGGAAGGAGGTGAAGAAGAGGAAGAGTTCCATCCTCGCCAGATTCTCCCCGAGACACACTCTTTTACCTGTGGAAAAACATTTGCTAGGTAATATGAGCTTGTTAGGAATTTTACATGAAGATGGAGTTTTTATATAATAGACATCTACCATAGTTCAAATGAGTCCTAGGAACATTAGAAAAAAGAAATAAAGAAAATATGAAAACGGGTGGTTATCCTAAGGAAGAAAGTGTTCAACTCAGTGGAAAGTGCTGAGGTAGTATTATTAGTGTTCATTGATTTCATAGCATTGCGTTTATTTACAGCTTGATGCTGTAAAGTAATGAATGTGGCATGTGTGCAATTCTAAATATGTCTCACCCATTGAGAAAGGAATGAAAGCCGCCCTCTTCACAAACTTCCCTTCTTGATCCAGAAAGTGTTGTGGATTGAAGGTGTCTGGCGTCTCCCACTCGCTCTTATCAAACATGACCGAGGTTAGATTGGGAATAATGTCGGTGCCCTGGGAGAAAAAGAGAACACTGAACTCATCCCATGTAAGTGGAAATTTCTATATCATGACAGAAAATGTCTTTTTTTTCGTAGATGTTAAGCACATGGATCTGGCCTTGTAAAAGTCACCCACTCACTTTTAGCAGGTTGAAGACTCTCCACAAGGGGGTGCTGTTAACATTCAAGTAGCTTTTATGTGCCTGTCTGCATTCGTGTCTTTGAGTGAAGTATGTTTTTGGCCTACTGCTCAGAATGCAGCTTCACACAAAAACCTGTCTGCATTCACGTACTTGCTTTTAGTTGAATCATTGCGATCTGAGGCCATTTTCTTCAAAAATTTCAAACCCCAAAAAATGGCAGGCAAAGCCGTTTATGAGCCCTAGTGATAAAATCATTTAGAATATTTAATATTTTAAAATCATAACATTCAGTTTGTTGTGCTCAAAATAGAGTTTATGTAACTTCATCTGATATATGTATGACTGCTGATACTACTTGATTACTTTGCTAGCTAGTTAGCAGGTTAAAGGTGACACAGCTAACAGCACCAAAAATGAAAGACAATATTCAGTGGTTCTAAATCAAAGCTTAGAGCCAGACAAAGCAATTATTAATTAGCTGTCAATTTATTGTTTCATTATTCAGACTTCACAAAAAACATTTTGATTTACAAAGTTAGCATGGCTAGCTGATAAGCTTATCAAGCTAGCTTTGTCAAGAGTGAGTGCGTTACGCTCTTCACTGTCCACTGCTGAGAGTGGCCACTTGTAACTTAGGTGCAATGCGTTTCCAAACACTACAGTGCTAAAGCAAGAGTAAAGCACTGCAAAGCAGTGGAATAGTTGGAAAAGTTAGATGTCGATAAACATGTTATGTTGGTTGTTGGTAAATTTACTTAACTGTAAATTAATGTAATAAATGTTTGCCTGTATTATAATTAGTGAGCACCTTTGGAATAATGTACTCTCCTATCTGGATGTCCTTGGTGGCCTTTCTAGGGAGGCTGAGTGGAGCAATGTTTCCAACCCTCTGGATCTCATGAATAACTGCATCAGTATAGGGCAAATCAGCCCTGTCCGCTGTGCTGGGCTGCCGTGATTGACCAATCACCCAGTCGATCTCAGCCTGAACCTTTTCTGTTGGTATCATAGGTATAAGACAAAGCAGAGGAAAGTGTTGTTTAGGCATTATTATTATCTAGGATATACATAACATACCACCTCCTTGTTTCTACACTGGTTTAATGGTATGGCTGATTGGTGTATGTATAGGTCTTTACTTGTACAGTGCAGTTATGATGAAACTTATACTATCAGTTAACGTACTTGCTAACTGATAATACACGTGTGGAGTTGTGAAGTAATCTGAAATGGACTTGCCTATGTGGTTTCTGGTGTATGACATCATGTTCAGGAATGAATGATGATATCAGAATTATATCGACATCAACAGATAACTGTTTAAAAAAATGATTGGCCTTGAACTGATGTTTGGATTTGAAAGATATTCCAAACTGATGCCGTATTTGGGTCATTCTACAGAAACGTCCACTTTTTTATTTATCTGTAGGAGTCACCGGTGTTACCAATCCTCACTGATGTTACACATCATGGACTATCCACTAACATATGTAATTTAGGCCATTTGTTTTCTATTTTTTCACAATTACCTAAGAATAAAGAAGGTCACACCAGTGACGTCAACTAAAAGCTTCATATGAAATCATGAGCTAAATGAGAAGATTTCTGATAACTGAAAGACACAGTGGACTTACCATGTGCTTTTCTTCATAGATCCTCAGAAAATAGGTAAAGGGAGTCAAGTGATGTCATCAGTGTGATTTTTATTTCAAAATAAGAGATTTTTGTTACACAGTAACACCAGTGACACGACTCCTGGGGACCGCAACTTTTATTATATATTTATTTGGCATTTTCTTTGTCATTTACCTCAAAATATGGCCTCACCCTTTACACAACTGTGAGGACGAGCACTTCTGTGATGCTTGGAGTTCTATTTGATTGATTTACAGACCAATATTGCTAAATTGCTGGTGTAATTGTTAAGAAGGTGTAATTGTTAAAATAACTTTGTTTTATTTTAAAATATAAATAAATTGTAATCCTAACATTTTTCAAGTGTAATATATCTGTAAACATTAGGGACAGAAAAATGGACGTTTCTGTAGAATGACCCATTTATTGCACTTCGGAAGAGCAGAACATTTATGAAATGCTGGGTACTAAAATACTTGCAACCCTCTACAAATAAATATGTTTCTCTGTAATGCTCCAAGTGGATTTATTTCAAAATTTTATAAATGTGTATACATCGGCATTGATAGATATGCACAGTCATATGCAAATGTTTTGGTGTCCCTGATCAAATGACATGTTGTTGATTTTCTAAGTGAAAACAACACATCCTCTTCAGAGAACCCCCTTTAATAATACACAATTACTGTTTGTTTGCTGAATTTAATATACTAAAGATAAAATACACATAAAACTTATGACCTGCGTGAAAGTTACAGTGCATTTTTATGTTTTATTTATTTTTTTGCCAATATCTTGTAGTCAGCAAATAAATAGAAATTGTGTGCTAAAATTAGCAGAAGAAATGGCATATTTAAGTTCGCTCACTGCAGACGATGTGTTAACATATTTTCACTTAGAAAATCAACAAAACGTAATCTGAGTGGGGATGTCCAAACCTTTTGTTTATGAAAGTATGTGAAAAATATCAGATTTTGGCATCTGCCCAGAATTTTCATGTTGATGCACCCTCTAATGCTGCTGTCTATTAAATTGAAAAGTATGTTGCATAACTTAAAACAGTATTAAGAGCCTCAATTTTGAAGCTAGAGACTAAAGAAGTACATTTCAGACACCAAACATGTCTTGGCTGAATGAGTGTATTTGCGGCCAAACTATTCCTTTAAGGAAAGATATAGTAATGAATTTCATTGGCAAATTTAAAAAGTAAACCATGGTGTCTGCTTTACCCTGCACCTCTGGGTACTTGGCCATGTAGAGGAAGCCCCAGCGCAGGGTGGTGGAGGTAGTTTCAGATCCAGCAACAAACAGATCCACAGCGCACATGACCAGATTTTCTTCATGGAACCCTGCTGCCACATCAGCTTTGTTCTGGGCATGAAAGAGCACACAGAGAAAGAGCACTGATCTCCTACATATGACTGTATTGAATAAGCTGTGAAGGCCAAAATCAATGAAAAAAAACATTATCCAAAGCCACAGCAGGTCTCGGAATGCATGTTGGTGGGTGAACCATTTGCATGCATGCCCAGAGTAGAGACCGATTTCTCATGATGTAATAGAGCGAGGCAAGAAGGGGTTGGATGCAAGCGTGAAGCATAAATAAAGATTGTGATGGAGACTGTGATGGTGATTGTGATGGTGATGGAGAAAACTTCAGCACATTTCTGAACACAGAATACAAAATAACTGAAAGTCCTTTGTAAAAGCTACAAAACTTCACACCAACCTTCTCGATCTCAGTCAGGTAGCAGTCAATGTAATCTCTGAGCTCATTAGGGTCTCTGTCCTTTTTGTGCTGCTCAATCTCTGTTCTCACAAAGTTCTTCACTGCCTCCCAGTTCTTCAGCATCTCCTGGTGGGGCCCTGGCAGCAGCTTCATCACCACAGAAAAAGAGCTATGCAGCTGAAAGAAACAGGAAAAAAAAACAAAAACAAAGAAGAAACACTGACTATTGATGATCACTTTGCAAATTCTCATAATGAATGAATAATATTTACATGGATCAGATATTATCGAGTGAATGTTTAGGGCTATCAATCAATGTAGTTATGTTATAAATGAAGTTTGGGGGGAGGAGCATGGCTGAAACCCCTCCTTCTTTCAGTCTAATGGGTGGGGGAGTTCTCCCCCGCTCCCTTACTGAGTCTTCCCTCATACTACCACCATGCTGAAGGCATGGTCTGAACTCATAAAGTTATATTGGTAATCATGTGATCTAAAGTTTATTTTGATGATAAAACAATACATCAGACAATGTAAGGTTTAAAATCTGCACGATCATCATGCAAATTGCTAACAATTCCCTGGAACTGAAGAAGGTAAATGTCAGTTGATGATTTTAGTAATAAAATGACTAATCAAATTGAGTTAAGTAGTCATGACAGTTTTGCTGTTATTTACTGAAATAAGTCTTGTCAGTGTGGATTAGTATTCAGATTCTAGATATTTGTGTGCGTTGTATTGTATGAATGGAAACCTGAGCCCAGATGGAAGCTTCGATCTCCATTGCTTCTTCAAACAGCTGCATCATCTTTCTAAACCTCTGGTCCGAGTACTTGAAGCGATGGCCGAACACCAGAGAGCAGATGATGTTGGCCACACCATAGTTTGTGATCAAATGAGGATTGAAGGGCTTTCCTGCAGAAAGAAAACACAGTCTATGATCAGTTCCCAATAAACACTGCAGTGACAACCAGGGCTGCATTCATGATTCCCCCAGTGCTTCTTTAATGCCCTTATGTACTGACCTTCATCATGTTCACTTCTAATTTGTGATATTTGTCATGCAGTTTTCCAATTCACAACTGTTCACTGCAACTGTCCCTCTACTGCTCATAGGAGTGCTTGATAATTAGCTGAAACAGGTATATTTTGGCAGACAAACACACAACTTTGTTCAGCAGACTCCAGGACCATAAAACTCGGCTGTTGATTTGATCAGCCTTGCAGACATCATAAATTTAGGACATTAATCTCCAGATTCTTAGTATGTGCAGAACTTTTGGATGTTCTAAGCTAAAACCTCCATCAAATACTCTCTCCCTCTCTTGTCTAATGTATAGTGAATCCCAACATATTACCAACATTTGCTGCCCAGTTTAGTCGTGGTGGTTGGATAGCATAGTGGATAACATCACTGCCTGGAGTCAAAGGTTTGATTCTCTGTCCAGGCAGGAATGCCACTGCTGTTTTCAGACCAATAAGACCTGAATTTATTATTTAAATATCAAATCATTCTATGAAAGTTTAGATAAGAGCTAAGCATTAAGTGTTTAAAGATATAGTAATGAATTTCATTGGCAAATTTAAAAAGTAAACCATGGTGTCTGCTTTACCCTGCACCTCTGGGTACTTGGCCATGTAGAGGAAGCCCCAGCGCAGGGTGGTGGAGGTAGTCAATGGATTAGTAAGGATGTAACAATACAACACATTGTATTGTATCATAGGCTACATTCACATTACAAGCCTCATTGCTCAGATGTGCAGATCTAATTTGAAAAGATCAGATTGGTGTGTCCACATAGCTCTGAAAAAATCAGATCTGTGTCACACTAAGGCAAAAAATAAGATTTGTACCATTTCAGCCTGGTAATGTGAACAAAGCCATGATGTATCATATTGTATCATTGTATCATGACTGGCTTGTTGCTAAATTGTTAAATGCTGTAGTCAATTGAAAATACAAACAATACAACATATTAATGCTGTATTGGGAAATATTTCAGATCCAGACATCACTGTATCATATCAAATGAAATCAAAGAATGGTGTGTATCGTTACATCCCTAATGGCTTGGACAAAACAAGTCATTTAGATAAACGATACATATTTCAAAAAAGAAAATTCAGTTGGCGAGTCAGATTACAGGATTTAAAATGTATCTAGGCAATCAGAGCACAGAAGAAAAAATATTAATCAGGCATGAGGGAAACTCAGCTAGCCAATCAGATCACAACCAGACTGCACTAAGGTTGATGTCTGTGAGAGAAAGAGAACAATGAAACTGTTCATGTTCATAGGCTATTAATAAAGCCTATGTGAATGAATAATGGATTCTCAGTGTCAAGTCTGATGTCCAAGCAGCTGCTTGGTTTGCCTGCCCTCTAGCTTTGCCTCTGACTGTGTTCACACAGAATCAGACTCATCATACAGAACCAGCACAGCATCGCAGTCAGCTGACAGAACCAACCATTCAGGAAGATATAACAGGCCATCACAAAAATGAGAACAGTTTACCATTCCTGTCACCGATGTCTCTTGCCAGGTAAGTGAACTCATCCAAGATGGCTGCTTCGAGTGACTTCTTCCCAACTCCAAAGTACTTGAGTGTGGAGAGAGTGAAGCGTCTCTGCTGCTTCCATGAGTAACCATTACAGCGTATCAACCCTGCAACCAAAAAAAAAACAGGAGGCCAAGGTCCAACTAGGTCTACACAGATGCTGAATGAGAGGATTCTCCATAATGAGTGTCATGTGCTGTCCAGAAAGTTCTGAATCAAAGTGTATTATAATGTAAAAGCAAATTTGTTGAATAAATGTATAAAATTATTCTAATATGCTGCTTTTGGGCAATTTCACAGGTTTCAAACAATCTAGTCTAGGAAGCTGTAAAAAGTCTGTAATAATTGAAAAAAATGCTGTAGATAAAAAAATCTAAAACAACTGGGAAAGCTGCATAGCATTGAGAATGAAGTTACAATAAAATGAATGACCTCATTTACAAATTACTTGATATAGCTGTATATTTCATTTGTTGGTGTTGTCAAAATATTTGAACTATTGTGTAAAACTACATAAATAATCTTTATAAATAACTTTCTTGTGTCTAGTGACATTAAATTTAAATCTACCAGCTTTGAAATCTACACTGGATAATCACACTGGATATCATACATTATGAATTTAAAGGTTAAGAACCACTATTTTAATTTATGTAAAACCATTTTTTTCTGCAGATACATATAAATATAAAATTATATAGAATGATTCTAATAGGATGGTAATATTTTCTAGGAAGCTGTGAAGTTTTGCTTGAAGAATTGAGCTGTAGATAATTCCATAATAATTGAAGTGAAAGCTGTGTGTTGAGAATGAACTTATAATAAAATTACTACCCAGAATGCCATATTCATATTCAAAACCAGGAACCAAATCTCACTGATCAAATAGCCATTTATAGTTATGATATTATAGTGGTGATGATAGGAACCAGGTGTTGCGATGTCTACAACACAAATACAGACATTTTATTTACTATCCAAAACCACCAGTGAACCCACACGTGTCTTCTGAGTTTTTATATGTAATGCTGATGATGCTAAAATAACAGTCAATCTGAAAAAAACAAGTTTTCTATTTTGGATTACAACATCCTGCATATACCTCTCCATCATAAATGGCTTTAAAAAATACATTTTGGGTCAAAGTTGTTTGGAAAAACTATCATAGAAAAACGTCAGACATCAGGCAGTGTATTGATAACCATTTACACCCAATGACAAACAGTCATTTAACCATGCAGGCCTTTTGGAAAATTAGTGAAGTTTCCTTTTAAGAATCCTAAAGGGCCAAACGAAAGACAGGATGTTCTGGAGAAACACTATACATATGGTGAGCAGGTGTCTGAATCGACTAGACATGACTTAATTTACAGAATTTAAGTTTCATAAAAGAAATCACTGTAACACAGAGCCTCTTGAGATTTTGTTGAGTCTTCTTACCAAGATTATTGCACACTCTAGTGTGGACGACAGTATCAGGCCTGTCAGCCATGCTGTCTCCCTGAACCATGAGAGCCTCCTTCACTGTTTTATAGCCATTCAGAATCACTATCCACGACTGGGCCATCCGCAGACTGTACACATCACCATAGTGGACAGCAAGCTGAGGGAGACACATCGTGAGTCACTGTCTGTCTGCATATAAAGTAGATGCACCGTCAAATAAAATTCAACAGAAAAGTGTAATTCAATGGCTTAATTAGAAATGTATTAAATAAAAATGACTAACTACATCGTAAATTTGGCTTCAGTAAAAATATCTAACCATGCAAGAAGGATGCCAGTATTATCAGATGCTTGTAAAACCTGTCCTGGTGAAGCCTCTACTAAAAAACAGCAGCACAGATCCTTCTGTACTTAACAATTTCAGACCAATTTTAAACCTTCCTTTTTAAGTAATATCTTAGATAAAGTTGTTTTAAAACAATTAAATGTGTATCTAATGTCAAACAAGTTATTTGAGAAGTTTCAATCAGGTTTTTGTTCTAATCATAGTGCTGAGAGAGCATTGGTTTGTGTTGTGAATGACCATTTATGCACAAAGTCCTTCTATTCTGGTCTTATTGGATCTTAGTGCACCCTTTCGATGCCCGTTAATAACAAGATTCTAATCCACTGTCTAGAATGCTGGGACGGCCTCTCAGACACAGTTTTAGATTGGTTTAAATCATATTTAATGAATAGACAGTTCTTAGTTTCACTGAGAAAACATATAAACATTTCTTTTGGAGTCCCGCAGAGTTCTGTTTTAGGGCCTTTGCTTTTCTCTTCATATGTAATGGATTTGAATTCCCCAGTTACATTCAGGTTTCAGGTTCCTGTACAGGTCCCAGTATGTAACTGCTGCTTCATTTAAAGTGGAACAGAAAATTCCAACAAAAAGCTGTCGATCTCAGCTTTGTAGAAATTAAGACATTCAGCAACATTTAGCAACATATTTGCAGGGCTGACAGAGATAGTGTTATAAAGCATAATTGATACAGGTTAATCTATACATTGTTATGTTTTGTTTTTACTATTTTGCACAATAAAAATATTTCAGATTTTCTTTGGTTGTTAAAAATGGTACTTTTTAAAAAGTGAAGGAACATCCTAGAATAATGATATACCATGATATTTTTAGCCAAACTGCCCACCACTAGTTTTATGTACCAAAAACAAACATATTTAACTTTTGCATGACAGTCTTCCAACCTCTCTTTGTCCTTTACAGTAAAACAGACTACTTTGTTATGTAAATGAGCTCCATTCTGATTGGCTGCCCTTCATTCAAAAAGCAGTCCAGGCTGAAGCAGTCCTTAGAACTTTAACATGAATGGGTGGAGTTAAACAGCTGTAGGCCAATTAGATGGAGATATGTAAACATGTTGTTTTTTTGTGGCATCACAAAAACAATGAATTTTAAACTATTTTGCAGCTTGATTTCCACATATGGACTGTATAGATGTTTTGAAACTTTAACAGTTCATCGCTCGTGTTTTAAAAAAAGCAAGAAAAAAAATTATGGGCCCTACTTGTGCAATTATTTGGCAACTGCTATGAAACTGATTAAAAAGAAAACAACATTATGGAATAGAAATTGCGATTTAAAGTTGCAATATGCAAGTGCAAAGTTAAACTGTGAGGGCACATTTTAGTTTCTCACTCTCTACATAACCAGCCAATCAGAATGCACTTACATTTGAGTTTCATAGTAGTTACCAATATGATTAAAAAGTCTTTAACCACTGAATAATAAGCTTATAGGCAGTTAATCTGAACTTCGAGGTGCTTGGAAATGGCATGAATGGAAGCACGTGGTAGTAATAGGTGCAGTAATATAAGAGACAGTGATTCATACCTGTGTCATGTTGATGTGAGTTTTCTTGAAGTTGATAGTGAAGATGTTGCCAAAGAAAGGTATGCCAGGGGGTGCGGGGGGGAAAGCTTTGGGCCTGCGGTTCTTCACATAATCCCAAAGCACCAGGAAGACCACAACGAATATCAGCAGAGCCTGAAAATCCAGCCCTTTCCACACACACACCAGAAGAGACCAGCCCAGAGCCATGACTACCACAGCTCCAGAGTAAGTGTGTGAGGTTTCTTCTCTGCGCTGTAGTACTTTACTGAGGCAGAGCTCTGTGACACTTGTCCTGTGGTACTTTGCCCTGTTTTCAGTGGCCATGAAATTAACCCAACAAAACTCTCATTCAGTCTAACACTGTGAATCCAAAAGTAGCTCATTTATTCACATTTATATATTACATTAGAAGTTCCCTCATACAAAGTGACTGTTAGCGCTAGAAGCTAAAAGGGTGAAAAATACTGAATATAAACCACCTTTTGATTCAGAAAATATTTGTAACTTAACAACAGTAATCACATTAGGGATTTCCTTATTTGTGTCACCACAAAACCTCCTTGTTTCTTTCTGTCAGTCAGCATATAATCTGAATGACCAATGCATGCTTGAAGAAGTTCAGCGAATAGTTAACTAGTGATATAACCTGTGTTACACAATACTGGTATAGATATTAGGCTGAATGGTAGGAGGAGCATCACAGAATGTTGGCGCAAAAAGTAGGGCACAGCGATTTGGGTCAGTAAGTGTTTATTTGTAAAGCTTTTTTTCTAATTCAAGTAGAAACAGGAAAAAAAGCGCTCAACATGAACTGCAGTTTTGAATTTTAACATTGATACATCTACATCTACATTAGAGCTCAATAGTGTGGATCACTTGTCATATTCATAATGGCTATTTTATTTAATAATAACTCATTTGGTCTAGACTGAAATATTAAGACACCAGTAGGTATTTATCAGATATGTTAGGATGTGCTATTTTGGGAACAAATTATTAGATGATAAATAATATACTGTAATTATCTGTTTATAGTAAGTTGTCTGCCAGCTGTTTGATCACCAGTTTTCAAATATGAGCCATTTTATTGTAACTTCATTGTGGATGTTAATTTTGGTATAACTTCTGCTGTCAGGACAAAACCTTGCATCTCCATTTTTGTTGTTTTTCAGTGTTTGACATAATTTGAAAATGCCTGTTGCTCTTTACATTGTGTATAAAATTCATGATGAATGGACCAGAAGAAGTGGCCCAAAATTACTTGGAAAAAGTAAAAATAAAAGCTTAAGTATGTTTCTCAGGTCCGTAAGTCCGTAAGGTTACTCATCATGTATCCTGACCATAAAACAGCACTGCACCATTTATCATTTATTTATTTAAACAACATACAGGAATCTCCTCTGCTCTCACATACCTGATTCACTAAGTTTGAGCACAGAAATCACTTGCACTTGTAGCCATCCAGGATAGAAATGCGAGAACCCTGCTTTATTGAGCATAAATGTAGTCTTGGTTTATTTAGCCACACACACACATGCACAAAACACACAATCCAGCTTATCAAAATATTTACTTTTCATCTTTAACAAAATTACACAATATTAACATATTTATCACCACTGAAATGGTTTAACAAAAAATATAAAAAAGAACATGACAAAGTCAGATTGTAGAGTTAAGGCACAAGGCAAAGATTAATGTATTAACCATATTTACCAAAAACATCAACAGATGTGAAGCAGTGTGTTCAGGAGAATAAGTAGGCACTTCTAAAACATACTGCATAACTGTTGCAACACTGTTCCTGTAGTTTCCAACCCAGATTAACACCCTCACTTTAACATGTGTTTAACTGATCTATCCATGCTCCGCCCACAAAATTGTTGCGAGGTTGGATGAGCTTTACACAACTGCCAAACATCCCATTCAACCTGGTAAGAAACTGTAGTGCACATTATGCAGGGATTGTTTTCAGTTTAAAATAAATATACTGTGTTGATGAAACTGTATCTGTATCTAGCCCGAGTGTGACTTTTCAAATACATACATGATAAATATCATTAGGATAATACATGACATGAAACATGAACATAAAGACAAACTGTAAACTGTAGGCCTGTCACAATTATGACAATCGCCTGATAGTAATTAAACTGATGGCAATTATTTGTTATTAGCGTTTATACGCCTAGACTTGAAAAAAATGTATTGGGTGCATTTTTGTCTGTTGAGACAAATATACGTAAATAAAAGAAAGCAGAAAATGCATTTTTAAGACACGTCTTATATAAACAACAGAAAAGGTCAATGATATTTGTTTATTTGATGTTTGTTGACACCTTCAGCGGGCTGCGGTGAGTAATATTTGTTTATTTGTTAATAACACCTTTAGAGGGCGGCAGTGAGTAGTGTTTGTTTATTTGAGCTCTAGCTGTGCCTGTCTTCAGTTGAGAACAGCTAAGACACAAAATATCTAATCAGCCAATTTGCCACTTTAGGGTTCAGACTTAGCAGCAGCATACAATAAGCAGAACAGATAATTTAACTGTTAATCTCAAATACTTATATGGCAATTAAACAAAAGCTAAATTTAATGATTCTGACAGGCCTACTCTAAATTTCTTTCTCAATAAACACTGAGTTACCCACTGTAATTTCTGTAGGTTAGATGGGACTTTTGGCAATGTTCTGTAAAGCATGTCCAGTTGCTATGAAACAAGCAATTTTAATGACAGGTCAATTCAGTCAAGCTAAGAAAGGTATTACTCTAGTATTACAGTAAGGTCTGAGCTGGACTTAAACTTAGCAGGAAGGCAAAACAACTTATAATTTGTTACTGAACTCCTGTGTACAAAAATCTGAACAAAAAAAAATATATATATATAAAAAAGTGCATAATTTTTAAAACATTTACAGTGTATTTTTTCTTCATTGGCATCATTTGTGCTCGAGTATGACAGTCCTGAGTGATGTAAGGGGAGTGCAAACTTAATTTACAAAGACATACCTGTCATTTATTCACAGGCTTAAAGAACATGAATGGATTACTGGGGTGGTCTTAGCAGCACAGTGTAAAAGGAAAAACTCAGGATGATTCAAACATTCTCTCTGCTGCAGAATGTGACGGGTACATGCGTATCAAGACAGAATGTGTTTGTGTGTCTATGTAAACTTCTTGATGAAACGCAGTTTCAAGTATGCAATGCTCAGGAATATGATTATCATGCAGCCCAGCGCAACATGGTTCTGCCACATGCCCCATGTAGAGTAGTCAATGCCCTGCTCAGTCAGGAAATCCTCGCCTGTTGAACAACTGCATACAAAACAAATACTAAGGTCAATTTTTTAGCTTTTTGAGGTCAAAGAGTCCATATGTGCTTACGCACTTTAATCCCTCTCTTTCATAACTACATAAACAATATATTAGTTGCATGGTAATTACTGAATAATGTCTACGAGCAACAACGGTTCAGCCACAAGCGGTAGACCACTCAAACAATTATATGCTTCCAACTTTGTGGCAACAGTTTGGGGAAGGCCCTTTTCCTGTTCAAGCATGACTGTGTCCCTGTGCCTAAAGCGAGGTCCAAAAAGACATGGTTTGGTGTGGAGGAAAGCTTTACTAGAAAAGTGAAGGCTGCTGTAGTGGAGGAGGGGAGGTCAACTCATAAATGGTAATGGATTTGGAACAAGCTTACAGAGGTGTGATGGTCAGGTTTCCACATACCTTTGGCCATATAGTGTATACACACAGATGTATGTACGCGTTTAAACATCCCCAGTCAAATTACATATTTGGATGATTTTCTAAATGAAAGTAAGTCAACACATCCTCAACAGGGAGCAAATTTAAATAAGACATTCTCTGCACATTTAAGTGCACAATTTCTCTTTCTTTGCTGAGTTTAACAAATAAAAAAAGGAAAGATATTGGAAAATAAAATAAATAAAATATAAAAACATTATTGTTTTTCTTCATAATATGTCAATTTCGACAAATAAACAGTAATACTAGTAATAATTGTGCATTAAAATGTGCAGAGGATGTGTTAATACATTTTCACTTACAAAATCATTTAATTTCACTTAGGAAAACTTTTCACCAGCGTTGCCTAAACGTTTGCATACAACTGTATCTATATATGCACACACACATACACACACACACACACACACACACACACACACACACACACACATATATATATATATATATATATATATATATATATATATATTATTACATGCTGGTAGTTACATATATAAAACATCTAAAAACAAGCACAATACTTACACACTAATTTGTCCGGCTGTAGTGTTAAAATCAGTTTGATTGTTCGTAACAGTGTTACAGAACCTCTGCCCAACAAACTCGTTCACCTGGAGAGCCTGAATACATCATTCTCACAATTATTACCTTCATCATCATCATCCTAAACATATATGTGCATCAACAAGTGCAGATTAAGTCCCTAGCAACCAATAAAAATACAATGCATGACTGAACAAAGTAAACTAACATAATAGGTAACGAGCAAAACGACTCATATAGATCATTAGAAGAGATGATTGCTAACTTACCGTCAAACCATAACGAGGGATGCTCAGATACTTTAACCAGTTCAGCCAGTCAGCAATGCTGGGCAAATTTACTAGCAAGCCTGAGAAAATCTATACACAGACAGACGCAGACAGACACAGACATGCATATAAACAAACAAAAAAGTAATGAATAATTGATCTCGGGTTATTTGTGTGCCATGTGTGTGCATTAGTGAGTTTGTTAGGGCTGCAACTACTAAAGAATTTCATATTTAAATATTATACTGTATAGTATCTTTAATGTTTGAATATTTCAGATAACACTTTGACAAATTGACATAACCCTGCCATTAACATGTCAATGCAGATTTCACATGCAGAGTTGTCAGATTATATACAATAATATAACAGTGTCATGTTACTGTTACCTGTAATTTTAATGACGTTTGATGTCATGGTAGGTAACTAGATTATATTATACATGACATAAGATGTCATGAACAAATGTTAGTTATTCGACTGGCTTTATCATTTTTGAATATCCTAAATATTGAATTGCTCACATTTTATATAATGTTAAAATAATGAGGATGAGACAGAAAGAGATAAAGAACATGTGAGTGCGTGCGTGTTCTCACCATCATGAACACAAAGCTGATGGTCATGAAGATGTTGGCGATGGCCACCACATTCTGATCAGCAGAGATGGCCATTGTCATGGATGTTGCCGTGTAGGCAGTCATGGCAACAGATAACATGAAGAAAAAAAATGCTCCAGCATTTGCTTTGTACCCTGGAATGGGAAAAAAATGTATCTTGTAGGCATGTATAAGAACCCACTATAAACATTAAATTGCAAACATCGAGCTCATAAAATGTTTTGCAATATAATAACCTACAACATTCACCTTTCAGATAAAGAGCAAATATGTTGGACAGTGACTACAGATGGGGCTTTAACTATCTTTATATGCACACTTTTAACAAACATTAATCAAATATCTCAATGAACAAATACTTTTTCTCATTCAAAAAAAAATAAGTTAAAATTAATGTTTCAAATACATCCATATACGTAGTTGTAGTCAAAATTGTGAAAATAAGTGAATGCATCCTTTTCAGAGAACACATTTCTGCACTTTTTAATGTACAATTAATCTCTCAATTAACATTTTATATTTTCTTATATTTTTATCTTTGAGTATAAATTGTGTACTGAAATGCATCATGATGGATGTATTAACTTGCTTTCACTTTCACGAAACATGTTTGATTGGTGTTTTTCAAACTTTTGCATCCCTAACAATAATGTGTGTGTATGTGAATGGGTTGGTATCTACGTTGTGAGTGTGTGTGTTACCTATCATCCAGTAGGCCACACAGCTGAAGATGATCGCAGGGACGGTGCGCAGTGTGAGAATGTCAGAGAGAATCTTACTCAGGAAATACACAGACACTCTGTAGTAGCCACTAACATATTCATGCCTGTAGAGAGATACAGCACTTATCATCATTTTGTTACAACAACAACTGATTTAGATGTGCTTTCACCACTTTTGTAACTTTTTAAATATGTGTTTATTTCCTCTCTACTCACAGGAAGAGTTTGCGTTCCGTGATGAAAAGCTCAGCGGAGGACAGAGAGCTGAAACACTGATTAGTAATGATGAAGAACAGGGAGCCCATCCTGAAATTAGAGGCTGTGGTTTACACATGTTTATGCACACAAGACATTCATTCCAAAATGCTGCATATTTATTCGTAAACTATTTGGATATAAAGAGGCTGGAAAAAAATAACAGAAGATGTATAACAGAAAACACATTTCTATTTCTCTAATAATGGGGCGTTAATCATAATGTAGTTTTGGAATGACAATCCTTTCTTTATATCTTTCTTTCTGTATTTCTTCCTTGCTTTCTTTCTTTCATGTCAATTAAAGTCTTTAATGTTGTATTTTACTTTATTCTTGTGTTTTTAACCAGTTTAAGCTTTTTTGGGTTACTGAAAAGTGCCGACAAATGATTATTATTTTTATTATTATTATTATTATTATTATTTCAAATAGCACAAATGCCCCTGTTGTGTCTTTCTCACCTGTTTTGAATCCCTTCCGAGGTGCTTGGCACATTGAAAAAGATAGCACCAACAATCAGAGCTAAGAAAAGTGTGACTCCCATCTGGGAAAAGAATTCATTTATGAATCAGTACATCCAAACTGCAGAAGTTCACTACATTCTAACACCACAACATAATACCATATCAGAACACACTGCCATCGTCAGTGCTGTAGATTTATATTTCATTGGAATTTAATTAGATTTTCTTTTTCTTACAGTATAAATCCCAGAGCGTCCATCTACCACACATACACAATTATTGCTGTGTTTCTCAGAAAAGGAAATACAAACATACATATATAATCAGCCTCAATGATTTAATGTTATATTACCTACCAATCGATCCTGTTGTGCAAGAGAATGTTTATATACTACACCATAATATATAAAAAAAAACCTTCTGAACAATCTAACGGAGTGCATATATGGAATATTTGGAATGTTGGTAAACCTTCTGTGTGTCCAAAACAATAACTTTACAGGAGAAGGAAGTAACATCATTAACTTGTAATAGACGCTAATGTAACATTTTCTACAAGTAATTTTGGACCATTTTCTATTGGTCCGTTCATCATTTAATTTTGACACAAAGTCAAGGGAAAGCGCAGATCCCAAATATGCCAAAATGCGAAAAATGAAGAAAATGTTTTTTGTGACAGTGATAATATATACCTTGGTATAGCACACATAATGCTGTTTTTTCCATTTCTTTCTTGCTGTCTGCTATCTGTCTATCTCTGTCAGTCGATCTATTTATCTTATGACCTCTAGTGGGCACTGCTGATTAACAGCACCTCTGAAATGCATTTTTGGTCACTCAGTACTTTCACATACATGCAATATTATATAATCTTTTTTATAATCTTTAGTAGAAAATAACGAATATTTTGAAGAAAGCATACGACAACTTGCTTTCTTCTAAATTTCTGTCAAATATAGTGCACTGTAAGTGTTCCTCATGTAAGGCCAATACGTTAAAGAGGTGGTGCACCTTCACAATAACAATTTAATGACTACAAACTTAGAAACATACTTTACATTGGGTAAAAAACACAAAATCCAATGCCTTGAATTCTGTCAGTGAACACTTATGAAAATATATTTTTGTAGAAAAAAAAAATCTCAGTCAAGGGAGTTTGTACAATAGTCTGTGAATCTGTATAATTTATTGTCCTGCACAGTTAGCAGAAAACCTTAGGGAAAGCAACCGGAACTACTTTCATTGTGTTGCTTCAGTTTTTTAACTTTATAAAAACAGCTTCAGTAAGATTTGGTATTATCTTTATCAGCTAATAGCTTGACACTTGAGCTACAAATTGGGAGTCTTGTCTCCAATGAAAATCCATTTTTCATTTTTCATGATTAGGATATTTTAACTAAACATTTTACATATATGTGTCATATTTAAATGTGATATTGGTACCTTCCATCTTACAGCACTCTAGCAATTTTCTTTACAAACAGTCTAATTCCAGTTCATATCCTTATAAAAATTAGAGGAAGGGTTTAAATGTGTTTTGAAGATGGGCAGCTGACTTATTCACAGTATTTTTGAGACGGAACACCAAATGCAGCAGATAGAGACTTGAGAAACACTGGTGACATGGAGTATTGAACTGTATCGGTGTATTACGTGTATATCTCTCTCCGCCTCGCTTTAGGTCTGTAACTCACCTGAGCGAAGGAGGTCTGTGGGTTAAGCATGAGGTTACGGAAGGTCCTTTTCAGCACCCATTTGAACTGGTGGTTGAAGGAGGTCTTGTAGGTGATGGTGCGAGTTTTGGGCTTCTCGCTGTAGTTCCGGCCCTGCATGATCTTCTCCAGCTCTTCTTTGGTCTCTTTGTAGTAAGACCACTTTTTATACTCTTCCATCAGCCTCTGCTCGATGTTCTGGCGAGATGACGTGTACTGCTCCACATTCAGCTCTATAGGATGCACACAAAAAACAAAAATGATCACACCTAAGATGTGTGCGTGTATGTTTAACTATTAGGGATGTAAATCTCTGACTTTTCAATGGTTCAATTTGATTATGATTGTTTAGGAAATTAGTAAAAGCATCAAGAAATCTCAAATTTGCAACACAAATCAGTTCAATATGATTAATTTGGTGTAATTCAGAATTATTTTAAAAATACAATGAATACATAGATGTGACTGGAGGAACTATTAACACAGTAGGGGAGTACAGACAATTAAAACAATAAACCAACCTTTTTTTTAGATTTTGACATTTGGAAATAGTCAAAAGATTTATGAATACAATAATACAATACACAACAAATACAGTAATATGAATATTACTGTAATTTCTTATAAACAAGGCACTGTTGCATTTTTACACCCCTAATGGCTATGTGTGTGTGTGTGAGAGAGAGAGAGAGAGAGAGAGAGAGAGAGAGAGGGAGAGAGAGGGAGAGAGAGAGAGAGAGAGAGAGAAAGAGACCTTCTGTCTCTTCAAGTCTGTTTTGATTGACTGCAGAAAAGTCTCCATTAATGACGTCCAGGAAGAAGTCAGCAGGGTTGTTGTGAGGTTCACAGATGAATCCTGCAAAACAGAGTTATAATCAGATAATTTAGCAATGCTTTAATTATATGCGAAATGAAGTCTGCTTCTTATCTGCGAAGTTAAAAGCTACATTCTCAATTCAAATGAAGGTGTTGTTAAACGCCTGGTATGATTCTGTTTGTGACTTTACACTGTTTACAAGTTGGTAACTATTAATTATTTACAAGTTGATCACAAGCACTACTTCTCTTTCCTGACTGTGGCCAAATGAACTTGACATTATTGACAACCACCCCAAAGTCCTTTTTTAACAAATCTTATTTCTGCTGACTATAGGAAACAAGGATTTCATTATTTGATGAATTTCATTCCAAAATGTTGTATATTCAATAGCAAAATATTTCAATATAAAGAGGTTAAAGAATAACCGCTGGTGTATAATGTAAAAACATTTTAAATTCACTAATAAGGGTTGTTTAACCATAATACAGCTTTTATAGTTTTTACATGAACCAGCCAGGTGCTTTTTTAGATCATGATAATTAATATACAGAATACACACTAATAAACTGTTTTAGACCAAACCAGAATGATTTTCCATAAAACCATTTCAGGAACCCCTTCAAATGAGAGATTTTGAAGTACTTGAACTCACCTATTTCACTGAAGTAATCCAGTGCGCTCTGCGCAGGTCCATGGTAAACCTGTCTACCGCTAGCCAGAAGAGTCAAGCTGTCAAACAGTCGATATATAGAGTAACGTGGCTGGTGGATGGACAAGATAATGGTCCGACCATGATTCGACATCCTGCAGCAGAAGGCGTTTTATTGATTAGCTACGAATGCACCGCACGCACCGGGGGAAGAGTGAGCTTGTGCTTTTATACTCACACATGCACTTGTTTGTTTGTTGCAGATGTATGTGCATACCTCTTCAGCAATGACAGTACAGAATTAGCTGTGCTGGCGTCCAGTCCTGTTGTGGGTTCATCCAGAAAGAGAACAGAAGGATCGATGATGAGTTCCATTCCGATGTTGGTCCTCTTCCTCTCACCTCCTGAAATCCCTCGTATCAGTTGCGTGCCCACCTATCGTACAAACAGAGCCACAAGGAATCAAAAACCTACCCTATAACCAAGGGGTGTCCAAACATTTTGGAAAGAGGGCCACATTGGACCATATTAAAACACTGGAGCACCAGTCACTCATCAACAATATATTACACAGTGTCCTCCAAAAGTTTTAGAATGGCAAGGCTAATTCTTTCGTCTTTTCTGTACACTGAAGACATTTGTGTTTGAGATCAAAAGATGCAAAGGAGACAAAAGATCAAAATTTCAGCTTTTATTTCCTGATATTTCCACTTGACGAACAGCTTACAACCACACAATTTTTAGGTGAGCAAAAAAAAAAGTATAGGAACAGATAGTGGTAAAGTAAATGAAAGTAAAAAACACTTAATATTTTGTTGCAAATCCAATATGCAATAGCTGCATCAAGCAAAAACAAAAACACTGGCCTTGCCATTCCAATAATTTCAGAGGAGACTGTGCATAAATAATTCAACACAATTTACTCAATATGTGGAAAAGCAAACATTTAGAACAATTTATATTTACTGAAATACTAAATACAATTTGTTTTAGAGCAATAACTGTAAGAAAATTCTGCCTCAACTTCAACTTTAAAGTATTTAGGCCAGAGGTCTTAAAATCTGGACCGTGAATACATGTTCTGGTCCTGGATTTTGTAGTCACTGTTAGGTATGACACTAAATGGCCGATCTGTTACATTAACCATGCAAATTAGCTGATCATTGCCATGGTGTCTATATCTTGTATGCTAACGAACTGCTGCCACCATCAGGTGAACATAAACATTGCAATGCATTGGCCAGTGGACCACCTATAATGCATTCTATGGATAAGCCCACTATGCGAGCCCACTCAAAACTGTTCAGTGGCTGCGTTTGGCCCAGGGCCCGGACTTTGGACACCCCAGCTATAAACTCTGTACCTCTACATACTGCCTCAAAACAAAATTAACATTTACTTATTTCAGAAATCTTTCTTGTGTCAGAACAAACACGTCATCGTTAGCATCTAAGCATGTGTCCCTTGCTCATGAGCTGGCTACTTTAGCCCACGAGTAATTCCTCTTTTTGTGTTTTCCTTTTAGCTGATTGACACAGGAAGTCAGAGCATGTCCTACCCGTGAGTCAGCTACTTTAGTCAGTCCCAGCTCTTCAATCAGTTGTTGCACTTTTTCTTCTTTCTCCTTCTGACTGACTGACATTGGAAGCCTCAACGCTGCTGAGAAACGCAAGTTCTCCCTCACTGTTAGCGTTCCCATGACAACATCATCCTGCATGACACAGAGAACAGCACATAAAAAAACACACATACATGATTTAAAAAGGTGTAACATGCAAAAATCACAGGATCACAGAAAAAATATAAAAGATCATTTTAAAACAATATCTGGAGACTCTCTAACTCCACCTCAAGCCTTAACGTTAATATGCCTTTACATATGTAGTTTAATAACATATGTAGTTACATAATATTTGTAGTTTGATATGTATGAGAGTAAATGACCAGCACTGCTTTAGTGTGTTCATGTTCCTGCCACATTAATATATAATATTAATCCAGACTAATAATTCCCTTAGTCATGGTGGTCACGACCTTACATAGTTCAGTGTGAGGAACGCTTGCTTAGGCTGAGTAACAAGTGTCGTCGGAGGAGACACTTCCCTTTTAACACATTTTATGACTAATGACGAAGAGACACTTCCCCTTTCAGATAGTTTAAAGCACTGGAAAATCAGCAATCAGCATTCTTTTGAATAGAATGTGTAAGACATGACTGTGGTTTCTTAAACCTTCACAGAATGGCTGTGTGTGCAAGTACATGTGAGAAAGGAAGCAAGATGCTGAGTGAACACTGAATAGATGTGACACAGCCAGTAGGCACACAGGACAGTGGGGGTGTGTCTATGTGCGTAAATGTAATGCAATTTAAACAGACGTCTGAACTTTTGTGTGTGTATATTTGTATAAATGAATATGTAACATATTCAAGATAAATTTAGAATACATGGTACACTGGAAAATGTTACAAGGCACATGGAAAAACTCTCCTGCAGTAATTTGTACTTAATTTACACTGTTCCTCGCTGTTACTGGTTGGCAATTTTCCTAATGTAATTCTTAATACCACTATATTTTAAGCGTTCACTGAAGATGCTTTGTAGATGCTCATCTTATGTTTAACAATTGACTAAATATATATTAAAAGCAACCAAAAAGCAAAATATGTCTTAAAAGCAATAGAATCATATTCTAATAAATCTGAGGCTCATTTTTATGGCTAACCCTAACCTTAATCTCAACCCATAATCTAAACCTAATTCTAACCCTGCTGATAAGGTGCAAATGTATGGTAACAATTAAAGCATCTGTAAATAATCTGAAACCATTTTTTTTCAACACCTACTTCAATTCTGCTGCTGCCACAATCCCATGAGCCCACTCTACCTGGAACCTGTTATACTTTATCTAGTATATTCAGTGAAAATGGGACAGCACTTAAAAGCTACTCTTTCAAATAATTAAACATCATTTTGACAATGTATACTGTCGCTGTCCAAAGACAAACAAGTATCTCTAAGATAGTAAGTTTAAATGAGAAAGCAAAAACTTTCTTAACTTAATGTGAGTTAATGTAAAGAATTAAGAGACGGCAGAAATATATTTAGTCGAACAACAAACTATGTGCAGCCTTTCAGAAATGCCAAAAAACGATATAGGAAAATCTAGAAATGGTTAATAAATTACGTAACAAATAAATAAATAAATAAATACAAACAGGGCTAAAATACATATAAATGTGTGTGTCCACCAGGCTCTGTTTGCCTTCAGGGAGACTAGCTGGAGAATATAAAATAAGCATTATAATGATGCAGCTAATCACTGATTATTACTGTCTGTTTATAATCACGACAGACCTGATCCAGACAGACATCTATAGTTGCGTGGTTTTATGTGTGTGTGTGTGTGTGTGTGTGTGTACCTGTACTACATATCCAGACAGGCATTTGAAGTCGGGAGGTTGTGGTGCTCCATCTATCAGCACTTCTCCAGACAATCCTTTAGGGTCTTTCCTCGCCGCCAGTACGTCCAGAAACCTTAATTCAGTCAAAATTACAAGCTCTTTACCATGACAAAGCTATAATATCACCATATCGGCATGATAAAACTACTGTATAAACATACTGCAATCACAATAAAACCAACTACTGTGTTATAAACAATGCATAACCACACACGACACATCCAATACAACTAAACACTGAATAATACAGTACTCACAAACATTGCTGACAAACGTTACTAAGACAGGTACACAAACACTTACGATGATTTTCCACTCCCAGTTGCTCCTAATATGGCATTCATTCCAGGCCTCATAATCCCACTAGATGAAGAAAAAGAAAAAAAATATTCAGAAATGTTCTTAAGCATCACTGTCACAGATTTATTCACAACCATCCCCCTACACTGCAGACAGATTACGTGTTTGCCAGCAAAGCACAGAACTCCTAAGCTAGACCAGCAATTGAGCACTTTTGTTTTAGAAGATAATAATGGTATTAATTCTTAAATATACACATATATTTATAAATCTAAAAAGGTCCAGATACTGTTATGATTGAGTCACAAAACTACTGCTGATGCCGATACATAAATGTAACATTTAACTGGGTTAGCATCACAGAGAAACTTAACATCTGTTTCCTTGGTGTTACAAATGCTGTAAAATGAATAAAACATTGATATTTCAGCCCAGTAGCCCAGCATTGCTGAAATGTCCTGCTCTTCCAGAGTCATAAATACATCATCAAATATCGGTTTGAAATATATACTGAATTATCTGCTGATACCGATATGACTTTGACATTATTATGCATCCCTAACTTTAACCACTGGTAAACTTATTTCACAGAACGTTTCTTAAAATGGTGTTGGTCAGCTTGTGTTTATTGTTGGGATCATAAACCTAGAAGTGTACAAAAGCATTTTGACGGCAAACCCACAGACGTCTACAAACAAACAGCTGAAATGAAACAGCACTCAGCAACTTTTTAAAAAGTCACAGAACGTCCTGTTTAAAATAAATGACACATGGCTTGACATTTTGTTTTCCTGACACATTTTTAAGTACAACACAAATGTCCAAATACTTTTTGGGGCCACTGTATGTATTTCAGTCACACTGTCAATGACTACATCCTGACAAAGCTTTATTCTCAGTCATGGCTTGTGTCATAGCTATTGCGCAAGGTAATTTATTTCAAGCTAAATATGTCCCATAGTCCCCCCAGCAATCCACTCTATTCACCTTCGTCATGGTAACACAAACTTGCTTACTTGCATTGAGGCTGGCTATTGCTCACATTATTGCTTATTGCTAGGTCATGATATTGCTTAATGCATTCTCATGAACTTCCCAAACACCCCCTCCACACACAAATTGTCATAACTGCCTGACTGTGGCAGGTCAAACATAAATATATTTCAGCAGAGCAATACACCATAAACACGAGTGTCAGACTGCTCGCATTTGAACTCTCACACACACCTGTTTCTCTTACACGCACAAGTTAATCATTTCTGTCCTTTCGGTCAATAAACTTACAGAGGATCCCTTTGTGTCCCAAACAAAGTCCCAATGTCCTTTATGATATCCTTCCCTTCTCTTATTTTTACTAAAAGACATTCTAAAAAAAGAGATGTAGCAAATATAACTGTCACCGCAAGAAATGGGGGGAGCAGAGGGGGCTGTATGTAAGTATTTAAGTATTCAGTATAATAAAACTGCTATAAAACAAATACGTCCTATTTTATGCACTGTTTAAGTTAATGCTGCATTTCCATTACAGCGAGTGGAATCGTGTCTCTCGTCAGCTGTTGGCCATTTTGGAGATGTGCCGCTAAAGCAAGTTTACAAGCATTGAAATATGTGCAGAGGCTATTACCGAGCCCTCTAGCAGTCTAAAAACAATAATGTGTGCGCTTATATATATGTATGTATATATATATTACATGACTGGCATTCATTCAGTGAATGAATTCAGCTTTCAAGCCTTATGTCCAAAAAACTGATGTGCTGGTCTTCTTGAACAAAAAGAAATATGAATATAAATGGAGCTTCATTTCTAGAAAATAATCCCATTTAGATGACAATTTAATATTCTTAGCACCACAACTTAAAACACCTTCCTGCATCGCTGACAAAAGTGGTTAAATTAGACTGATTAATTGATTAATTTGTAATCTAAGATCATATCTTGGTGAACGTGGGCAATGGCTCAAAACTATCTAAATATATAGAATAAAGAGATTTTGCTATTCTAATATTAGCATTTTTAACTGTAAACCTTTGTGCCATTTAGCACAAAGGTGTGCGTGTTTGCCGTCTCTTATCTAACGCTGAGAGGTGAAGAGTCAAGGCCATGGCACGTTTTTATTGGCTTAAACTGTCTAAATCATTTATCCTGACTTGCACTTTGGAAATGTTTTTTAAACTTTTACTCTCACTTAGGTATTGAGCCAAACCTTTTTTATATTGATGTTTTTACAGCTTCACTGTCTCTTTCATACACAGATCACATGAGAATTTCAGTTTCCATTGTTCTAGCCTCTCTTTCATCTCAGCGACAAATGTGTATGTGTGTGTATGTAACAGCAGGAATGGTGCGCAAGTACAGGTGTGTGTGCTTGTGTGTCTGTTCCATGTGCTTGTTTGAATGAACAAAGCGTGTTTAGAACTGAATACATGTGTGTGCCTCTATGCTGGAATAAACATCCATGTGGGAAACGTCCCAATACTTGCATGTTTTTTCCTTTGTGTTTAATTGTGTAATAGTGTTTGATTTGGTTTATGTAACCCCCCACCTCTCTCTCTCTCTCTCTCTCTCTCTCTCTCTGTACATCGGTTGGGGGTTGCTCTCCTTCTAATCATTGTAGACCTGCACACTTCCTTCCCTTCATTCACTCACATCCTTTTCCACAGGGCCTCCTTCATTAAAAGCCACTGACTGCAGATCAGACCAAAAACCTTCATTTTTGCCCATGTACACATCCACGTTTTCAAACACCTGGGCTAGGCCTACTAGGGGCTGGACAGTATTGTTATGTACTACTGGCCTTTTGCAGCACTGATATCACTGTAGGCTGCAAAATGCAAATGACCAATCCTAGGCTTGTGCAAGCAACAAAGTTATCCAGGTAACTGTGTGGAAAATAACTGCAACTGGTGGGTGAACTGTCAAAAGGTGTACTGACATTTATATTTTTATTAATTCAATAACAATAACAGCAACACTTTATCACCCTGAAATTTTGAGGCGGTCAGAAAATCGGATGCTGGAGCAAACACAGTGATAGTGTGTGAGTTGAAGCTTAATCTTTGCGCAATAAAAGAATGCAATAAAAAGATAATTCAGTAAAAGTTGTGACTGTAGTATACTGTCATCTTTAATTTTGCCACAAAAATGAAATCACCATCTGAACCTGCTTAGCTTGTCCTGATGCCTTCTTCTCTGAAGCCATTTTTCGTGTTTGAAGTGGCTCATTTGGCCTGATGTACGAGAGCTGAGACACATTTTACTTGTAGGTTTCCCGAGACTTGAAGCTATTTAGTCTGATGTCTGAAAACTGAGGCTGCAGTCAAAGGATGCCCAAAAATGTACATAATATTCTATAGATGGATTTCTATACAGGTATGGTATCTTCCTGCAGCACCGTTCAACCTGCGCAGCTGAACAGCTGCATTTCTGCAACAAGCTCAGCAATACAATAAATGCATTAATGTAGGATATGAATTCACCCAATGTTGTTCAAGTTCATGTGTGAAAATACTAGTGTCATGCTATGCTTTGCATTCAATAAATCAATAAATGAACAAACGATTGGTTTTTAAATGAGTTTTTCCTATCACTGAGAGCTGTTACCATGGTAACTCGGCTAACCGTTACCATGCACAGGCCTAACCATTCCCTTAACTTATTTCAGCTAACACTAGCCCTCCATACTTGTAAAACACATTCAGATTCTACAATCTTATTGGCTGAACCACATTTGAAGCTGTGAGCGAAATACTTGCTATATACACATGACTGTCACCACACATTAGTTCTGTATTAATAAACTAATGTGCTATTTATGCAATAATATTTGCTTGGCAACCACAGCCTAATGTTAGCTAGTCTCTCAAGCCAGACTTCTGCCTATGGTCAGAGAATCTTGTGTGTGACGTGGCCACAAACCGCCTACTTTGACAGGAACTGGCACTCAACCAACTTTTTTTTTTTGTGTGACTTGCAGGGGCAGGTGACTTTTAAAATGAAGCTCCATCAAAAACACGCCCACAGGAAACAACGTGGTATGCAGCAGCAAACATGCAAGGACACTGCTGTGATAACTGTCAAACAAAATGCTGAGAAAATTTTTAAGATGCTGTTAACTTCACACACGTTTTCAGTCCAGTAAATATATATTTCACCAAAAGACTCATGACAGATTTCCCACTGGACAGATTAAAACCGATGAGATGGATATGCAGATAGCCAATCATAATGTAATAGATATTAGATGGTCTGTACCATCTTGAGGCTGAGACCTGGGCTGAATCTCAAATGACTCCTTATCTTCCATACAGGGCACAGCATAGGTCAGGAAACTGGCTTCTACACCCAAATAGCGCACTAAATGTCAAGACAGGGAGTCAAGCAGCATGTAGCTGAACCTTTTTGGCTTTCTATTCCATATATCATGCACTGTGTGGGAGTACAGTTTGTTATTTCATGACCTACATAGTGCACAACACAGGAAGTAGGGAGCTATTTGAGATTCAGCCTAACTGTTAACTAACTATGTTGTTGGTGAAAGAACTGTATATTGTGATTATTATTAATAATATATGTGATCATTTATTGAATATTGGTGTATCTAAATATATTGTATTTTTGTTGCCAATTTATAAGACCAGTAATTTTCTTATTGCAATAAAAACTACATCCCTTAGTCATGGTTACACACATTGCTGACTCATGTTGAGGCTGACTGCTCACATTAATGCTTACTGCTGAGTCATTATACTGTGTGCTGAGAGACAACTCACAGTTTCACATCTGTGTTTCTGTGTAAAGAAACACTGCAACAGCAAAAGTAAACTATTTTGATGAAAATAATACATGCTACTGATTCAAAATTCACACAGGCCTAGCTTGTACAATGATCTGAGGCCAGTCTCCTAAATAACATCAATTACTCTCAGACGCTGTCTTTTAAATACACAATGCTGAACCCTTGTTTTGACACAGGTAAAGTTTGGTCTGCATTATTTTGATCAACATGATTTGTTTTATCATGCAAATGTGATCATGGATCACCAGAACACCTGCAGAAAGGTCAGAGATTGGTCAGGATTTTCACAGCAAACACAAACAAACCCTGCAATTAGTTAAAGGGCTCATTTGCATATCGCAGCCTTCTGCAATATAAGTATTACAAAGGCCAATATTGAGAGAACGATTAATAAATGATCTATGATTAGATCTTGCTACCAACACCCTCATCTTGGCTGTTACATCAGACAAGGGAAAACTGGCATCAGATCACAGCACAAACTTGACTTCCACCAACACCATGGAAGGTTCACGTTAAGTTGTGATACGGAAACAAAGGTGTGGTCTGCATTATGTGGCCAACTGCCTCGCGTCACTGACGAACTTTAAGTTGACTGCCCTGGCTATCAATTACAGAGCTTGTACTTGAAGAAGCACCTAGTGTAGGGTTTCATGTGACATAAAGCTTTAAGCCAGTCCCCTTTTCAGCCTCTTATACCACAGTGATGACAAAAACAGATGCATGCTGGACTTGTCACTACTTATACTTGTCACAAGTCCAGAGATGATAGACTAAGCTGTTTAAATCTAAGCATATTATTTTGTTAATGATATTAAGATTTTTTAATATTTGTCATCTACCAAAATGATTCAGTTACTGCCATGAAACTATTACATAATTTATGTAGTAATGAGAGTGAAGTGTGTGTCCATTTGTGGGCTCCAGCACTGAAAAAGGTGGTGCATTAAATTAACTGTGTACATTACCACATTGCTAAAACATATTATATTAACAAAATTTTGTCTGTCAGTTTGCTTACTTTTATTTAGTGTAGAGGCATAAATAATGCGCACATCTTTAGACATACAGGGCCATTTTATATCATTGTATAGGACTAATCAGAGGCAGACAGGACTCACTTGATGTCAATGAGGATGTCTTTGTGGGTGACCTTCCTTTTACACAGCCAGCCACTCTTCATTTCCACGGCATAGTGGATCTTATGGAAGCTAACAGTAGCCCCACGACGAGAGGATGAGGAGGAGGAAGAGGAGGCGCTCAGCTCAAGCTTTCCGTTCCCGGAACTCCCCACATTGGGGAGGTGAATGCTCTGTTCCGACATCCTGCAAAACCATGGAAAAACAAACCCTTGAAAACAAGGTTTGGCACATTTCTTGTGTGATCAATCCTGCTCACATCTCCAACACTTCAACCAAACAACCTCCTCTTGCCAAAACCGTGACATTATACAGAAATTTTCCATTCAACATTCTCCCCACTTTCAATGTGACAAAGAAGCAAATAAACATAAACAAGCATGAGGTCCAAAAATTCCTCAAGTACTGAGAGTTCCCTATCTAAGTGAAGTGGACCTTGGTACATCCAGCATGAATGAGCATAGAGGCTGAGGTATTGTTAGTGCTGTTCCTTTTTTTTGTAAGACTTTAGATATAAAGTACAATGCCAAAGCTGAAAAGTGAGACCTGTGAAGAACAATTATTAAAATAAAAAAAAATGTCTCCTCAAAATATTGACTCCTCATTTCTTGTTCAATCCTGTTTACTAGCGTACAGCCTTTTTGCACAGAGTGTCCTCAGAAAGTGCATTTCCTCAGTTCTAAGTATATTTTAGTGTACTGTAAATGATCATGTATTTTTGTGAGGAAATCAATCATACAGTATTACTGTTTGCTGCCTTGCTGGTGCTCAAACCTCTCATTTTCGAGCTTTAGCAAAAACAAGCCTAACAAACTTCTGATAGATGCTGAATGTATTAAGTTCCACTGCAGTTATAAGTTAACGGATTTTTTTCCAAAATTTCTGTATAATTAAATCATTAAGATATGTAAGTAAACAAAGTCATTCAGAGTGTTTTGATGTAAAATGTGCCACTCTAGATAAAGTGATGGGAACCAGACGTCTGAAGCTTTTCCTGGCTCTCACGTCTCCCTCACAGAAAGTTATGGAATGGCTGCCTGATGCCCGAGACACTGTGTTACAACAGTCTGACGATCCTGTGGGGTCTGAAAACGTATCTTTTTAAATATTTTGTCCTAAAACTGGTTCCTCTTGCTACCTCTGTAACGAAATCTGGAAATTGTCTTTACAGTGAACCACTTTACATCAAACCGCTCTGAACGACTTTGTTTACATCTCAGCGTTTGAATTACGCAGAAATTCAGAAAAAAATCAGCGGAATTTCCCTTTTAGTATTTGGAAGGTTGTGGAACTGATAGTTTTGCACTCATGTTGGTTTTGTTAGTTAGTTTCATTTCTATTTTGGTCACTAATTCATTAGCGTAAAAAAAACACTCTTTGACCTTAGCACTGTTTTTCGTTACTGTACTCACCGCCAACCGCCACCGGTCCACTCTCTCATTTTAAACTATAGCTTAGCTAGCTAACACTGCAGGCTAACACCCCCACACTCACTGACTGAAGGCAGTTAAAAAGGCTTCATTCGTGCTCAAAAAGCTAACACACACAGTCTACCTTGCAGGCTTAGCTTAAGAGAGGCTACAAACCCTCTCTCTCTCTATATCTCTGTCTCTGTCTCTATCTCTCTATCTTTGTCTCTCTCTCTCTCTCGGCGAAATCTGAATGACGGTTATTCGTAACGTTACTCGCCGCTTGTGATATTAACATCATTTAAAAGTAACTAAGTTAAACGTTTTCTTTTTACGTCAAAAACTGTATAAGTATACTGATACTGTCCAGTGACTTACGCTGCAGAGGTGAGTGCCGCGGTTCCCTCGTCTCCTTCCCTCAGATGAACGGCGTGTGAAGGCTGTGAGAGATGCTGAGTTCTGTTTTCCCACCCGTATTCCGACAAGCAGCGGGTCTGAACTATCAGCCAATCACAACGCAGTGGAGGCGGGGCTTTCCTGAATACGAGTGGGGAATGACATAAGTAACCCACCGCAGTTAGACTGCTGCACTAGGCGAAAGTGCAGGCACGTGGCCCTCGTAGGACTGATGTGCGTGTTTTTTACACTATAACTGCACACTCACTGAGCTCTTTATTAGATACACCTACCGTGTACCTACATTTACTGCCCACTCTATCAGCTCCACTTACCATATAGGTGCAATTTGTAGTTCTACAATTACAGACTGTAGTCCATCTGTTTCCATGCATACATTGTTGGCCTCCATTCACCCTGTTCTTCGATGATCAGGACCCCCACAGAGCAGGTATTATTTGAATGGTGGTTCATTCTCAGCACTGGTACATGTGATGCCCTGGTACGAATGGATCAGGCACAGCAGTGCTGCTGGAGTTATTAAACACTGGGTCCACTCACTGTCCACTCCTACCTTGTTGGGCCTCCTTATAGATGTGAAGTCAGAGACAGTATCTCATCTGTTGCTGGCACAGTTTGTGTTGGTCATCCTCTAGTCCTTCATCAGTGGTCACAGGACGCTGCCCACAGGACGCTGTTGGCTGGATGTTTTTGGTTGGTGGACTATTCTCAGTCCAGCAGTGACACTGAAGTGTTCAAAAACTCCAGCAGCACTGCTGTGTCTGATCCACTCGTACCAGCACAACACACACTAACACGCCACCACCACGTCAGTGTCACTGCAGTGCTGAGAATGACCCACCAACTAAATAATACCTGCTCTGTGGTGGTCCTGTGGGGGTCCTGACCATTGAAAAACAGGGTAAAAGGGGGCTAACAAAGTATGCAGAGAAACAGATGGACTACAGTCTGTAATTGTAGAACTACAAAGTGCACCTATATAGTAAGTGGAGCTGATAAAATGGACAATGAGTGTAGAAACACGGAGAAGGTTTTAATGTTATGGCTGATCAGTTGACGAGTATTGTCATGTTCAGCTACAGAATCGTACATAACCTGTTACAAAATACACTCTTATGAAACAGGAGTTAATAGTGGGCAATCAAGATGATAACTCTGTTTTATTGTTCTTCCCTGGCAGGTCATCCAGTGGCCCTTACACAACGCCCGCTACACTGAGTGAGGGCAGATTTGTGTTTACTGAGCTCTGCAGTCCACACGGACTCTGCTCCCATAAACCTTATCAGCTTCATCTCAGTACACCCTCATACACTCCAGGTGAGCAGTAGCGAGGGGGCCGCCAGAGAAAGGCACGTGTGGGTAAGTATGTTGGTGAAGACTGATATAAAAGATAATCAGCATTTTCCATGCGCACGGTGGGGGTTACACAAAGCAGGATTTCACAGCAGGCTGGATAACTTCAAAGGGAAATTCCACCGGTTTTCAAAATGTCTGCATAATTCAATCGGAAATATGTAAACAAGTCATTCACACTGGTTTGGTGCAAAATTCTCCATTCCACAGAAACTCTTCGAGTCAGAATTGTTCACAGTGATGGTGGATGTCCACCTCTAAAAGCTCCCTCACAGAGAGTTATTTTGTGAAATGGTTATGATTATGCTGCTTGATGTCTGAAAAATTGTTTTATGATTATTTTGAGATTAAATTTTGTCTGAAGCCAAAATGTATTTTTAAAAAGATCCTTTTGTGGCGGAGGGGTACATGTAGGATGTTGTAAGGAAAAAATCATCCCCAAAGAAAATTTCTTTTTTCTGACTTAACACTATTGTATCATCACCAACATTACTTATAAACACTCAGAAGACACATGTAGGTTCACTGGTTGCCTTAGATAGTAAATAAAATGGCTATATTTATGTAGCCATTTTATTTATTATATATAAATATATAGATCACTATATATAGACCACTCCATATGAGTTTGGTCACATCTCAGCCACTGAAGTATGTACAAATATTGAAAAATCTGTGGATAAAGTGGTCAAGTTGAAGTGATCATTTGACAAAAATCTAATTGTACCGTTTTCTCCTTACCCCAAATGTAGACGATCAATCAAGACATGTTTAGTATCTGAAATCTGCTTTTATACATGACTGTACATCATACAGTGTCCGAAAGCACCTACAGCAAGTCTGTTTTAGATGATTTAAACAGCTCAGCCTATGCTAATTGGTGGATATAAACCTCCAGTGCTTGTTAGCTACATTAGCCTCTTAATTCCAGCACAAAAGTAAAGAAGCAAACTTGTCCTGATTGACTGTCTACATTTGGGGAAGGGGACAATTGTGTAAAATAGTTTTTTCACCAAACTATCACTTTAAACTTAAAGGTTTCTCAAGGTTTCTTCCTCTTGCTCTTAGGGGGTTTTTTCCTTGCCACTGTCACCCTTGTCTTGCTCATGGGGGATTGGATCCAGATATTCTGTAAAGCTGCACATATAAATAAACTTTGACTTGACAAATTTATTTTTATCCCTCAGAATTAAATAGGCTTTTTGTAGCTGTGCCTTTAAGACTTGTATATGTAAATGAGCTTTGTTCTGATTGGCTGTCCTGTATTGCGCCTCATTCAAAAAGCAGTCCAGGCTGAAACGCTCCTTATAACTTCAGCATGAGTGAAAGGGGGCTAATCTGCTGTAAGATGGATAGCCAGATACATCTATTTGCTGCTCAGAAGCTTCCTCTGATAGGTCCAAGAGCTGTTTATGGTCCCAAATCCCAAACTTAATCCAGGGTTAGATTGAACAATGTTAAAAGTTAGCTGGTTAAGCAAGAAACCCTGCTTTGTGAGACAGACACCAGCAGTGTGATACATCCCTCAATGTACTGTTGTGATGAATCACCTTAACACTGTACAATACAAAACAAGGGGAATTCCACTGATTTTTCAAAATTTCACTGAGTCAAATACTAAGATGTAAAGAAAGTAATTCAGAGTGATTTAATGTGAAATGCTCTGTTCTAGGGAAACGTACAAAGTCAGAATTGTTTACAGTGGTGATGATAGGAACCAGACGTCTGAAGAGTTAAATGCCTCTTAAAGCCACATCACAGAAAGTTATTACATAAAATGGTTTTAAATACGCTGCCTGATTCCCAAGACACTGTTCTCTGATAGTTTTCAGATAGTCTTTTGGGCTACAATGTACCTTTTAGAGAAATACATATAGGGTGTTATAAGGCAAAAGTAGTCTGCAAAGAAAACTTCCTTTTTATAAATATATAAATAATATATATATATATAAAATATATATATATATATATAAACATGTTCAGCTACAGAATCCTACATGACTTGTTACAGAATATGTCCTTATGACACAGGAGTTAATAGTAGGCAATTAAGATGATATCTCTGTTTTATTGTTCTTCCCTGGAAGGTCATGACTCCATGACAGAGAACAAGTTCAGGTTTGTGTTTATTTGTAGACTAAGGCTGCAGATGGCTAATAAACTACCTAGCTAACTAGCAGTCATATGTCTATATGTTTGCCCTGTGATGGACTGGCAGCCTCTCCAGGGTGTTTCCTGCCCTCTGCCCAGTGACCACTGGGATAGGCTCCAGCACCTCCCGTGACCCAGGAGGATAAGTGGCACAGATAATGTGTGTGTGTGTGTGTGTGTGTGTGTGTGTGTGTATTTGATATCCCTCTGGAGTTGCCCATATAGAAATAAATATGTTCCAAATGTATTTTTGCAATGTATGAAAATGGTCAAAAAATGTATTTGTTAAATATATTTTTGAAATGCATTTATTTGTATTTGTTATATTTTTTCAGTTGTATGTAGTCTCAAGTTTACAGATATAACCAAATGGTACTGACTTCTGTGTTTTGCTTTGTATGCCTTGCACGTATACAGTAAGATGTATGTATGAATATTTCAAATAAGCAAAATATCGAATCATAACTGTATTTCCACAGTGTATCAATACCTACAACACTTGCTATCTTCTGCCATGTTACAGATTAATTGGCTAAAATTTAAATGAAAATACTGGGATACAAATTTATTTCAAAAGGTATCCAAACAACAAAGTGCAACAGACAAATGTATTTAATAAATACATTTACATACATTTATTTTTGTATGGTACATTTCTAGGTGTAATATTTCCCCATACATTTTAAAATAAAAGTATTTTAAAATATATTTGGTTAATATGGAAATACATTCTTAAATACATTATAGTGTTTAGAATGTATGTCAGTATGGACTGCAATGTATTTGTAAAATACATGTCCATATATTTTTTTCCCTTATGGGTGGTTAAGCTACACATCCATTTCATTTGATTCAGAACAAAGGATGACAAGCTCGAAAAAAAAACAATAAAATAGTAATTTCTTTCTGCTCTTGCTGCATAAGTGAGTATTTGCAGCATGTAAACAAAGAACAAACCCTGCTAATATGGCAGAATGATCCCATAATGCAGCATGAGGTGACGGTCATGGTGGTGTGGGAGTCTGTGGTTCTAGTGGGCTGGTCTAGTCAAAAGTCTAGGCCTTGGATTTGCTCTGGCCAAGTATATGGCTGGGTCCTCGGCCTATATCTAGCCCACACACTGTAAAGTAAGTAGAAGTAATGAATGTGGCCCAAATCTGGCCCAACTACATTGTCGGTCCACAACGTTTACGCCAAAGTTGGCCCACAAAAATAGACACGAGGCAAAACCATATGAAGCTGTCTGGCATCTGGCCCTATTCTGGCTCACATGCCTAACATCTACCCTGTAGTCAACCAAACAATCATGAAGGAAAGCCAGAATCGGCCCAAAACTGTCTGCTATCTGGTATGCCGTATCTGGTGAGATCATGTTATGAGTTGTGCATATATTGTTAAATAAGCTAATTCATATAATAATGTCAAAACTACCATAAAACAATGTCTCAAGCATCATGCAGCGTATTCATAACTATTTCATGTGATGACCATTAGAGGGAGGAAACACTTCAGATATCTGGTTTCCCATGTCCACCAATGTAAAGAAGTCATTGTTTATCCACAATGCAGCATTTCACCTTAAATCATTCTTAATGACTTTGTTTACACATTAATAATGAATGATGCAGAATTTTTTTTTGGTGGAATTCCCCTCATTCTCAAAAACTCAAAAGTATCTGCCCACCCCGACTTATTACATCATTCTAAAACTATCTTGTCTAGCTGGATCACACAGTGAATTGGGCTTATAAATCATTCTAATCAAGCCTGTGGATGCATGTAGACACTTTAACAGTATCGTAAAACCATATTTTGATATAACAAGGTTCTCAGCAGCCTCTCACACACTCACTCCTTCTTCCCCTTTATCTCACTCTCACACGCACAAACACATGCACACACAGCCCTTAGTGTGGCCAGGAAGCTCCTCCTCTTCCTTGTGTAAATAGACATTCACAGAAACGAAACTGAAATTCTGCTCTTCTGCCATGTCCCTTTAATCCTCTCTCACCGCACTGAATAAAAATGGCATCGTCCAGTGCACTGAACCTTTCTAACTGCTCTCTCTGTCTTCAACGACTGACGGATGTGGTCACTATTCCCTGCGGACATGTATACTGCAGAGGCTGCACTGAAGCCTTCCTCAGTGAGTATGAAAACACAGGCAAGTACAGCTGCACACAGTGTGGGCAAAGTTTCACCCAAAGGCCCGAACAAGATGAACAAGTGGATGAAGTTGTGCATAGACTGATGAAGACTGGTCTCCAGGCTGACTACTCCATACCCAGCCATGCTGGACCTGAGGACGTAGCCTGTGACATCTGCACTGGCCAAAAACACAAAGCCATAAAATCCTGTCTGATGTGTCTGGCCTCCTACTGTGATGACCACCTCAGACTGCACAACGATCTCAACACAAGAACTCCTCACACGCTTGTGGATGCCACCGAACAGCTGCAGGGAATGACCTGCCCCCTCCACGATAAGCTCTTGGAGGTTTACTGCCGTACTGACCAGCAATGCATCTGCTGCCTGTGCATGCTGGACAATCACAAGGGTCATGACACAATCTCGGCTGCAGCAGGGCGGGCAGAGAAAGAGGTGGGCAGTCTTGTGGGCAGTCTAATGATGAGAAATAATGATAATTATAAGTTGTATATGCATTGTAAACATACTGTACTCGTTTTCCAGGTATTAAAGCAATTCAGCCCCAATGTAGTCAGTCAATGCATGTTTGCTTCTTTAGTTCCGCACTGGATCTCTGAGGCTAATGTAGTTTACAAATGATAAAGCTATTCAAGATTACTTAAAGGGACACTGGCTAAAATTTGCCTCTACATCAGTGGTTAAGCTAGTCAGGATTACTTTATCACCAACAAGGAAATTCCCAGCAGTTGTATGACATATTGCATGCTGGGTTTTGTAGTGAGAGAACACTGATGAAAAAACATGAAAACAATACAAAATCATAAATTTCGTCATACCAACAAGGCTGAGGAAAGCAGTGCTGCAAAACAGAATATTATGTAATACAAATAACATACAAAATAAAAATAAAATCTGTAAAAAAACGGTAAGAAGTCTGCCAGGAGGGGTGCCAGACAAAACCCGTTAATTAACAGTAAAAGTATGTTTTCTCAATAATGGTAAAATCTATAAAGTTATCAGAAATACTGTGTTTTACTGTAATGCAACAGTTTCACTAGTTTAACTAGTTACTCGGACATAATAACAGTAACAACCATTAAAATAAAGGCAAATGTCTGTGAAATAAAGACAATCATTTTTTTGTGAATTTACATTCTATTTCTGTAAATTAACAGCAGCTGTTATATATCCCCAAATCATTACACACTTTCCCACATTCTGGCCTAAAACTAGTATTTAATGCATAAGATATATATATATATATATATATCTTATGCATTAAATGCTAGTTTTAGGCCAGAATGTGGGAAAGTTTAAATGATTTGGGCATGCAGTTTGCACAATGCTTATCTAGTAGCTATAGATTTCATTACTCATTAGCCTCGTACCTCCAGTACAAAACAAAGAAGCAAACCTTGGACACCAAACACATCATGGCAGATCAACTACAATATGGGGTACTGGGAAGAACTGAACCATCACTTTTAACAGTCCTAGAAAGGATTTGTTACTGAGAATGAACATTGACAGTGTGACTTGTAGGTGGTAAACTGCCCCAAAAGTCATAATATTAACTTTTCAGAAATGTATAAGATGATAAATTTAGTAATACTTTGTGAAACTGGAGTATAGACCACTCAAAAAGTTTTACATGTAAAAACTACTGGGTGGAAAAACAAGACATCCTCCTTGCCCAGGGCAAGAGACATGGCTCAACATGAAAAAAGATACTTCACTGTTTGCTGGTTAGGCCATGATCAAAGAACAAAGTAGCACGTTTTTTATTTTGCCATTTGCTACAGAAATATTGTCTCATTTCAGTAACTTAAATGTCCTTCATTTGCCTTCAGGAGGAGACGAAGAAGTCCAAGCTGAGGATTACAGAGAGAGAGAAGCAGCAAAAGGAGCTGAGAGCAGCTAAAAACACCCTGAGGGTAGGTGCTGTGTCCACATACTGTCCTTTTTCCAGATGTCAGTGGATGTCGGAAAACTATACCACACCTTTCTCAAACATTGAGAACGCCTTCAATATCAAAGTGAGAAGCAAACTTGAAGTCCCTGGTTTTAGAGACCCCTGTTAGGACTGCCTCCACATTAAAGCCCCTCTCATCTGATATTGTATGTGTATTTAAAAGGCCCATATTATGGAAAGCCATATTTTGCTATTGTAAGTGTTTGATGTACTATGGTTCATATTGTCGATATCTTCATATTTCCACTATGTAAATATCTTTATACAACAACTGAATACATTTTGTGATCATGGGCCAACAGAAATGCTTCATAATTTCTTGAAATAAAATCTCACTACATTAACTTAGAATAAAAGTTAAGAAAGTTTTTTTTTTTCATTCTCCTGTAAAGTTACAATTTTGGATCATATCATACACTCTCCCAGTCCATAAATGCAAACTAACAGCTCATTTTCTATTCAGCATGGTTGTGATGTCACAGCCATGAACACATATGGTAGTTTAACCTGCCTTTTTACAATGAAGTGATGGAGTGCTCTTAAACAGGACATGGCACTGGCCACGGAAGAGGAGAGTGAGCGGCTCTTCAAGGAGCTGATCCAGTGTATAAAGAGCAGCTGCTCTGAGATGAAGGCGCTGATCCGAACCCAGGAGAGGGCTGAACTGGAGCGGGTCGAGGACCTTCTGATCCGGATAGAGCAGGAGACAGATGAGCTGAAGAGGAGCGATGCTGAGTTGGAGCAGCTTTCGCACACTCAGAACCACATCCACTTCCTGCAGGTAATACCACTGCACTGTAACTGAAGTGAAAATGGCTTGTAGTGTTGCTTGGCTTTTATCAAGTGTCATGAAGTCAGCAACCTATTGTGCAAAAACGCCGGGGTGGGATTCAGTCCCAAGGTGTTTGAGGGGGGGAAACTCGTTCCTTTTTCAGATGTACTACACCCGACAACTCATTCAGCAAGGAAGCATTTTTAAATACAAAGTTCAGGAGAGAGGAAAGGCAGTCAATGTGAAAAAGTAATGGAATTAACACATGGCTAACAGTTATAGCTACTAGGCCATGTGTCAGGCTAAGAGTACTTAGCCTTATCTTTGAATGGCATTGCTGGTAGTGAAAGCAAGTTGCTTGCACACTGAAGAAGACATATACTTGTATAGATTAAGGGACATCTAATAGATACAGCGGGCTTCCTCCAAATACAGAAGAAAGACAAGACCACACTCCAAAAGCTAATTTGACATAAGAAGAAAATGCAATGTTGCGTATTGCTTTACAGTGGGATTCAAAGGCTGCCTTCTAATCCTGACCAGTTAAAGCTAGTCGATCAACATTGACTATGCTTCACAAAATGCCTAAATTTATAGAAATCATCCTGTTATTTTTAACATTTTATTTTGTTTATTCGTGCCGGAACCGCTCTGCAGTCAGCCCAGTCTCTCTACCTCCTACCTGGATCTGCAGATGTCCCAGACCTGGCAGTTAACCCTCAGTTCTCTTTTGGGGAAGTGGTCAAGTCCATTTCTGAGCTCAAAGGCCAGATAGAAGACATCTGGCAGAGAGAAATCAAAACAATCTCAACAGAAGGTAAAGTCCATTAAAGGAAAACTGAAAACTATGACATTTATAACTGCATTTTCATTACTGTATAATCATTAAATGAATGATTTTTCTCTAGTGAAAAAAGACAAGATTGTAGTTCCTTCAGAACCAAAGACGAGAGAGGACTTCTTACAGTGTAAGTAGGCCCTCCCTTCCTAACATGCACATTATTTGGGTAGCAGAGTAACACTGTGAACAGAGCTGATTCACTCTGGGTTCATTTAAAACTTGAACAATGCACTCTGTTGTTTTGAAGGAAGAAAATTTGGCTTAAAATTAAATTTACACAACTTTCTCCTTCTACCAAATGTAGTCAATTAGTTGATTTGCTTTTTTTAGTTTAGCACTGGAGCTGCTAGGCTAATGGAGCTAACAAGCAATGGATGCTTTGACTGCTAATTAGCATCATTTGAGACTTGACTTGCTCATACTGCTAACATTGTATGTTATCTATAAAATGGGACATAATTCAGCCTTCACAACAGCTGACGCTACTGTTTCTAGGAGTAAATCTGAAACATGAAAAATTAGCTTTACAAGACATTTAAGTGCACACCTACATGTCTGAGACATGGGAAAGTATGACTGTTGGGTGGTTTAAAGCAAATAAACTGACGGTTAAAGCGGCAAGTTTTCATGCCTAATGAAGGGAAAGTTTTAACAATGTTAGCTGCCCCTTCAGACGAGCTAACGCTAAAGCTAATACTGGAGCTAGTCAAAGCAATGGTAGATGCTGAGGAGAACTTAGTTGTCTTTAACACAAAGTCTTTTACCAAACTTTACTAAAACAATACAAAGAATAGCGTGTGTAGTGCATTTATCTGACTAGCAAAAAAGTTTACTTACACACTTAAAAATGATGGTTTCTCAAGGGTTCTTATGTAAAGAAAATGGTTCTATATAGAACCATGAACACTCAGAGAACCCTTTGCATGACTGAGTTCTTTGCATTGTGAAAAAGTTCTTCAGATTGATGGAGAATGTGTTGTATAGGGTTCTATACAGCACCAAAAAGGGGTTCTTCTATTATTACAAGCTAGACATTGTAACTATAGAAGAACCCTTTTTGTGCTATATAGAACTTTTCGAAAAGCTTCTATATAGAACCATCTACAGCACATATGCCATCAATCTGAAGAACGCTTTCACAATGCAAAGCATACATTCCTTCTTTCCAGCATTTCTTAGTCTAGAAATTCTCACTAATTTACTGATACCGTTGTTCTCACTGTTGCTCTGAGAAGTTTAGGCAGACATATTTTCCTTCCCTTGATAGAGCAAGTAGAGTTTAGTGACGATTGTGGCTGGCTGAGGGGCTTGTCAGTCATAACTTTGCTTTCTTCCCCATTTAGATTTGGTTCCACTGTCACTGGACCTCAACACCGCCCACAAGAACCTTCGGCTATCTGAGGAGAACAGAGCTGTGTCCTGTGATCTCGAACCTCAACCTTATCTGGACCGTCCCGAGCGTTTCGACTGGTGGGCTCAGGTCCTGTCCCAGGAGGCTCTGTGTGGACGCTGCTACTGGGAAGCGCAGTGGACGGGCCTGTACGGAGCGGACATCGCCGTTTCATATGGAGACATCAGCAGGAAGGGAGAGGGAGATGACTGTGGCTTTGGGTATAACAAACAGTGCTGGAGTTTAGACTGTTCCATATCCAGATATGCTTTTGTACACAATAATGAGGAGACGGAAATCTCAGTGCCTACGTCCCACAGGATAGGGGTGTATCTGGACTACAGGGCAGGGCTGCTGTCTTTCTATAGCGTCTCAGAAGACAGTATGACTCTCCTCCACAGAGTGGACACCAGGTTCACTCAGCCTGTCTATGCAGGGTTTGGGCTGTACGGGGGATCTACAGCAAAGATATGCCAGCCAGGCGAAGAAGCACAAAAGCAAACGAATACCCAAAAAACAAAGAGAGTCACATTTGTGAAGAATGTGGAACATAAAAGAAGAATTTGCAGTATAAGATCCAGGGCAGTACAGAAAAGAAAATGAACGTGACAGAAAGTACCTAAAGTAGCCTAACGCCTGGAGCCTGCTCTATATTTGAACAATTAAGACAATTTCAAAAGGGCCCATATAATTATGTTTTTAATTAGGATTTTGATATAGTACGCAAGTATTGAAGAGACATTCTGGTTTTGGTCTATTAGTGTTCTCTCACTACAATACCCAGCAGGCTTTATGCAAATATAACAATTAGGAATCCCTCCCACAGTGATAAAGAAATAAGGACTGCTAGCACAGTCACTGATGTAGAGACTAATAACATAGACAGGATATTGGGCTTCTGAGCAGTAACATTCACTATCTAGCTTCCTTCGGCTTTAGCCAACTGAAAAAAATAAAAACATTTCAACCCACCCTCATGTATCTGCCTAAAAGCAGCTGTAGTTTTTCAGAAGTTCTCCCCACCTTCAAGATGCATCATCAGAAGGGGGCTTTCCTAATCTTAAAACCCAAAAATCTCACTCTAGAGACTATGGCAGCACCACTGCGAATACAAATGTGTGTGTATACGTTGCATGTTAAATAGATACACCAATGGTCAAAATGTTCATTTTTTTCTCCTTTAAATTTCAAAACACACAATTCACTATATATAAGGAAACTAAGGCACAAAAACAGGCCACTTTGAATTCCTCATGGTTGTGACGGCACAACCATAAACGTATTTCTCTGGCCATCCATTCAGCCTTCAGCTGATGTGACTTTAGTACATAAAACCACAAGAAAAATGGAGAATGTAAGTCCTTTAAATAGTGTTAAAAAAAAAACCCAAAAAAAAACCCAAAAGCTAAGATGGGCTCATTTCAGTACAGAATAGTAGGTTCTATTAAAACTAAATGAGGCACGAATGCTCATTGGTGACAGATGGATGAATTACTTGGGTGGTTCAACTCAGGATTTTTGCAATAATTATGTTAATTATAAATAAATAAATGAATGAATGGATTGTAAACTGTCCCTAATACTGCTTCACTCGGAAATGTGTCGTGGTACAGAAGAAAAATGTGTTGATTTCCCGTTCACGCTGTCTTATAAAACACATTTTACTGTTTTTTCTTTTCTTTTCTATTTTAATATTTCCTTGTGCCCTATAAAAGACAACCACCAAGAGTATAAAACTAAACAAAACCAGAACACCTAACTTTAGTCTCTGTAGGATGTTTTAACCTGCTTTTCACTCCTCTGTGAAGAAAACACCATTTTCTGGGTGCTGATTTTGTATGGTAATGACCACTGCTGTCATGGGCTGGCTCGGTGGTGGGGCGGGGTACGGGATGTGGAATTTGTGCTATGGTGAAGCACGGCTGCAGGAGAGCCTGGTACAACAGGCCCAACACCTTTTTCTTTTTAAATGCTGAAAGCATTTGCCAGCCAAGCATTCCATTACACAGCATGTTTAATGAAAAATTCAGTTTAAAAGTTGTATTTTGGTGCACTACTTTGCCACTGCGAAGCTAATGCTAATTATTGTTTGCAGCCAAAAGGGAATTTTAATGTTATTATAGTGCCAAGCTAAACTGCCTTATACACATTGTGTAGCAGCTCTTTAGCTGAAACACAGATATTTAAGTAACATTACATGCAGCAAATGTTTCTTCAGTAAAAATTTCAACTTAATGATTCTTAAAGATGTCTTCAATATTATTAAAGCCTATTTACCCCCTTAAAAAAGATGGTTCTTCAAGGGTTCTTTAGTAAATAAATAAGTTATACAGAGAACCATGGACACTTCAACCCTTCGCAGGATTAAAAGGTTCTTTGCATCATGAAATGGTTCTTTAGACTGATTTGTAAATGGTGCTGTAGCTGGTTCTATATAGAACCTTTTTGAAAAGGGTTCTTCTATTGTTATGATGTCAAGCTTTGGTGCTCTATAAAACCTTTTTCAAAAAAGTTCTATATAGAACCATCTACAGCACATTCTCCATTAGTCTAAATAACCCTTTCATGATGCAAAAAACCCTTTCATGCAAAGGGTTCTTTGAGTGTCCATGGTTCTATTCTATATAGAACCAGTTTATTTACTAAAGAACCCTTGCAGAACTGTCTTTAAGTGTGTAATGAGGACAGAATATGGGTCTAGGTACCCCACAGAGAGCATGTTAAGAAAAAAAAACAGTGCCATGAAAAAAAGTCTGCTGAATCAGTCACTAACACAGAAACATGGCCTGCGGGCTCATTCTGATGTTACTCATTGAAGACACTGTCAGCAAAGAAACTATGTAAAAGGTTCCTAAGATGGATTAACAACCGATTGCGTTTTCTTGAAAATGCTAGTTACAGGGCACCCCGATCATGGAATCATTCTACGATTTGTTAGGAAATGTTTTGCTGCATCATGAAATCTCAAAATTCACCGTGATTTGAAATCAGAATTTAATATATTCTTAAACATACTTAATACACAAATGTGTCTGGTGGAACTACAGGCAACGAAAACAATGCTCTAAATCAGTGGTCACCAACCCTGGTCCTGGAGACCTACCTTCTTACAGTGTCTCGTTCCAACCACAATCTGCCACACATTCTCCAGCTAATGAACAACTTCAGGAGTCCTTGATTGGCTGGATCAGCTGTGTTAGTGTCAGGTCAGCTAGAGGCAGCATAGTGGATGCAGGTTGGAACGAAACTCTGCAGGGTAGCATACCTCTGAGAAGAGGGTTGGTGACAATCTTTATGTATTTTTGGTTGAAAATTTGAGAATTTGTTTGTGACAAATCACACTTTAGTCCTATCACTGATTCTAACAAAGCAGCTGAACTGCTACCTTCACGTTGAAGGTTAAGATCTACTAAATACTGAATAAAGCATTTAAACTACAAGTTATCGTACTGTAGAACAGGGGCTCATGAACAACGTGCCAATAAGCAAAAATTTATATGAATGCAGGTCTTTAAAATTACAATAAGGTAACAATAAGGGATGCGTTTCAATCTCTACAGCGGTGGTCCCCAATCCTAGTCCTGCATTCCTCATTCAGTGCACAAGGGTCAAACTATGCGTCTGAAGCTACGTGCCGAGAAGAAATGTGGAAAAGGATAAGGAGTACCCCATTATCCAACCCTTCCCATTGAATCCCCACCGGAACCACTGTTCTGCATTGTTTTGTGTGTTTTCCTCCAAGATGCACAAACCGACCCATGAAGGACTAAAATTAGCAGCATGTTGGGCAGAAAAAAAGTGTAGTCTGGGGCGGGGGGGACCCTTCCTGTCTACATTCCACTGTACTGCAGAGTGAATGAAAGACCTGTATTTATTAAATTATATACATTTGTTTTTACAAGAATTGCCACAAACAGGCATCATCCTATCAAATTCACATAGAATTGAACGCATCATTCTACAATCTCATTGCTCACACAGATTAAGTCCACTTTGGGACTAAAAGAAAGTTTCCCAACAGAGAAGTGTTTGCGTATATATTTATTTACTTACAACAGACAATGCAATGTAATCCCAAACCAAGCTTAACCCAAGTACAAGGACAAAGTGCCCTCCAGTGGTCTTCCTTATGCAAGGTCTGCGTGGCTGAATGAGAAAGGAAGCCAAGCACATGTTTACAGAAGCAGCAAAGCCAATGGAACTGTACAGTAATGGCAGGGTAGGGAGTCATACATGTTCACTAGGCAGAGACTACAGATAGGTCTACAGCTTTGTAAGCTATTACTGCCACGAAAAAAAAAGAAAACAAAAATGAAGATGCAAGAACTTTGTGCTGAAAGTTACACTTCCTTGAAGCACTCAAAATTAGGATCAAACAGCATCCTGCTCTTTCCAAATCCCAAACATGACATGATGAACCCGAAGCAACAAAGAACTTCAATAACACATCAATCATCTACAAAATGTACATATTATCTTTAAACGGTACAATCGCTCAGACGAGGATGGCGCCTCTAAGAATTTCACTTTTTTTATCTTTTTTTAAAACTCCATTTAGCATCTCTCTTTCGATGGAGACTATCCCACGTGACAGAGCACAGCCAGGAGCACTCCAAAATTTAAAGTGCAAACGATTAGGTGCAATGGGACAGGAGACAGCAGAGAATGAAGGAACGAGAGGGGGGGAGGAAAAAAAAAAAAACAGAAAACAAAGAAAAGCATGCAAGGGAACAGAAGTGAAGATGAGGAGGAGAAAGACGAAAATCAAAGGAATTATTAACTTCTTTTCAACCTAATGTCTGCCTACTGGTACTGTACGGTCAAAAAAATTAGAAAATAACTGCACACTCTGTTGACTAAATTGGGCAGTTGTTAAATTCTGTCAGTAAAGGTTTACGCTAAACAACACTTTCATAAATTATTCAATCAAAAGTTTTTGTAAATCAATTAAACTTGTATAATTTGTTCTTTCAGAGAGATGTAATTGTGGTAATTCATTACCAGTGTAAAGGCTGAGGCTGGCTGCCGTGGAATCAGAAGTCAGGATAGCTACAATAACTGGAATTACTCTTACTGTAATACTCCAAACGTTCAAAAGTTTGATAAAACTTTCTTATGTCTGTCTCATCCCAAACCCCAGAAGTATGAAGTTTGTAGTTTGGAATTGGTATTATATAGTCACATCTTTCATTCACAGAATTCAGCAACTTAACAATGCCTTCTCTTGTTTTAAATCAACAGGTCCTCTGTTGTTTTCTAGGTACAGGTAAACAATTTGGAATTTGAAGTCTGTGGAAATTGACTGTACAACACAGATCTGGAAGGTAGATATTAGGTTAAAAACACTGGAGCACTGTTTTAAGACAGAGGTGTGTGCAGGAATGCAGGAAAAAACAAGAGAAAACTAAAAGGGGAAAAGAGCAGCAATGAGCAACTGAAAGTACAGAGAAACACTTGGAGGGAGGAGGGAAGGGGGAATGATCACTCTCCAGAGCGACAGCAGGCTCTGAAGCCACACTGCAGATTCTGACATCCACTAGCCGTCTCAGCATGGGGACCTGTAGAGAGAGGGAGAAAGAGAGAGGTAGAAGCAAAAGACAGAAGTTAGACATCCACACCAATGTCTGGAACAGAATAACAGCATTAAAAATTCTTCCAAATACACACCGACCGGGCACTTCATTAAGTACACCTCCTTGTCTATGTACTCATTGTCCATTTTATCAGCTCCACTTACTATATAGGTGCACTTTGTAGTTCTACAATTACAGACTGTAGTCCATCTGTTTCTCTGTATACTTTGTTCGCGCCCGTTTACCCTGTTCTTCAATGGTCAGGACCCCCAAAGGACCACCACAGAGCATGTATTATGTGGGTGGTGGATCATTCTCAGCACTGGTACATATGAAGCACTGGTATGAGTGGATCAGAAACAGCAGTGCTGCTGGAGTTTAAAACACCTCAGTGTCGCTGCTGGACTGAGAATAGTCCACCAACCAAAAATAACCGGCCGACAAACGTCCTCTGGGCAGCGTCCTGTGACCACTGATGAAGGACTAGAGGATGAATAACACAAACAGTGCAGCAACAGATGAGATACTGTCTCTGACTTTACATCAAGCTGGATCAACAAGGTAGGAGTGTCTAATAGAGTGCACATTGTCTGATCCACTCGTACCAGCGCAACACACACTAACACACAACCACCACGTCATTGCTGAGAATGATTCAACACTCAAATAATACCTGCTCTGTGGTGGTCCTGACCATTGAAGAACAGGGTGAAAGGGGGCTAACAAAGTATGCAGAGAAATATACAGACTACAGTCTGTAGTGTGGAGCTGATAAAATGGACAGTGAGTGTAGATACAAGGAGCCCTTTCATAATGAAGTGGCTGGTCTGTGTGTTTCTTTGATGCTCCAATAAATTTAATCAGATGCTTCCCTGGACTATGACCATACACATGTTTTTCCGTACAATTAAACATACAACTCTCACTACGTTTTCTATTTAAAAGGGAATTACACTGATTTTTCAAAACTTTTGCACAACTAAAATCATTAAACTGTCACTCAGAGGTTTGCTGCGAAATGCTCCACTGCAGAGAACTTGATGAGACAGAATTGTTCAGTGGTAGTGATGGGAAGCAGATGTCTGAAAGGTTAATGCCTCTAAAAGCTATCCCACAGGAAACTTTTACATGAAATTGTTATGCATTCGATGCCTGATGTCAGACGTCGTTTTACGATAGCTTCGACAAGGTTTTAGCCAAAAAGGGTATTTTAAAAATCTATTCAGTGAAAAGAGAAATTATATGTAGGAGTGTTCTAAGGCAAATAGCACACACACACACACACACACATCCTCTAAGCCGCTCCTCCTTCCAGATCGCGGGGGGAGCTGGAGCCTATCCCAGCAGTCATCAGGTGGAAGGCAGGACACACCCCGGACAGGTCACCAGTCCATCGCAGAGCAGACAAACAGACATATACATTCACTCACACCTAGGGGCAATCTAGCGTGTCAGCAAATAGCACAGCAAAGAAAATGTACCACTATTTTACCATTATCAATACTACGTACAAAAACTAATTAAATAAAATGGCATTGGAGACATATCAACCCCTAGATTCTATCACCACCATTGTAAAGGAAATCAGAGTCAAATTAAAAAAAATAAATAAATAAAATAAAATAAAAAAAAAGTAAAAGTCTAATTCCACTTTAATATTTTACCTTTAATGGTTTACAGAGGCTAGAGTGTAAACAAACTAAGCAGCTTGTCTAGCTGTGCAGTTTAGCTGTCATTATAAAGGTATTCATCCACTGGACAAAGTGGAGGTGAAGTAGTGCTTTAGAAATGCTGAAACATCAGCCATGTATCTGCCTGGTTCTAGAGAGTTTCTTTATACTTACCTTGAGGTACTGTACACCCATCAGCATCTCGCACACAAGGCCAGTGTTGCGTGAGAGCTGGGTTAAGCACTTATTACACCATTTATTCATCAAACAGAAAATACATTTCTACACAAAAGTTAAATTTCTACAACAGAAACCTTTATGAACTACTTAAAAATTCTGGATGTCCAGAAACCAAATGTTTAAATTAGGGTTGTGAAAGATTAATCATTAACCAACAAATAAACCATCGTTGTTGTACTGTTTCTAATCAATGTTTACTGTTTCCAGTAAATGAACAGTTCCTATTTGAATGGGCAGGTTCATCATTCAAGTTGAGTAACACTTTTAAATTAAGTGCATGAGGCAATACTGCAATAACGTACCATATCAAAGGAAACGTCTCCAAGCAATAAAACAGACAACTACTTCACTGACAGCTTTCGAGAGTTACTGAGATACACCCAGCCAAAGTTGCCCCAGGTATGACATTTATGTTCGTTCTTACTTGGGCTAGCAGAAAGTGGTAAATACAACTTTAGAATATAGAGCTGCCAGTAGCCCATAATTAAATAGTTCATAATTAAATAGTTCATTTCTGTAACGTTTCAGCTTTCAGTCATATAATAATAAACAAGTCATTGCTATTAAAATGAATTTGTATCTCCAAATTGGTAACTTCTCAGGTGAAAGAAAATGTACAATGGACGTTAATGGACAAATCTATTTTATTTAAGTAATTTTGGACCATTTCTGTTTGTCCATTCATTATGAAATTTCCACACTATTTAAAGGGGAGCTGATGTTTTGAAATGTTTCATTCATATATGTGGTATGCCTGGCCCTACCTTTCAGTATTGCAGTCTACAGTTCATTAGCACAGAATGGCGAGTGCAGATATCAAGTAAATGGCTTTGAATGTGGCTCAGCCAATCAGATTTCAAAACCTGAACTATCTATATAAGAACCGGAGTCGTGTCATTCATTTTTTGGCTTGTTGGTTAACGATTAATCACAGACTACTGATGGCTGACAGACAAAAAGATAGTTATACGGATATAGTTAGATAGATAGACAGATAGATAGATGGAGAGATACACAGATACAATCATTCACTCATCACATTGCTTTCAACTGGTTCATACTGAATGCAGTAATCGTGCCGTGCTTATCAAGATCAGAGAATACAGTGTGCCACTTTCTACAGGTGTAATTACAGTAGCAGACCTGCCCATTACCGCATGCAGACTAATGTGTGTGAGCACATCATCCCTGAAGGACAATTAGACGTGTATGTGTGTGTGTGTGTGTGTGTGTGTGTATAAACCAGTTTATCTTTAAGTGCAGGGCAGTGTGTGTGTGTGTGTGTTAGACTGGCTAACAAGTTACAGTATCAGTTTTGAAGCAGTTGTGTGTGTGTGTTACCGTTGATGTTATCGCAGTAGTAGAAGTGTTCGTCGTTGAGTGAGGGGCAGACAGACACCAGCTCCCGCAGTCCCACCTCAGTGATGAACAGACAGCCTGAGAGGTTCAGATGCTCCAGCAGGGGGAGCCCTCCTCCCTGAGACAGACACCTGCCACAAACACAGAGTCATAAAGAAATAAGTGACCTGCTAATACAGGACACAAGTTTAATGCTTGCACACATACATGAATAGTTTTTTGTTCATTATCTCTCAACACCCACAACTAAACACCATCTAAAAGAGGCATTAAGAATGGCAGAATTCCACAAACAACCAGCAGAGGGTGACAATCAGCCAATCATGACCATAATTAAGCACTACAGATGCTGATCAGGGCATCAAAAACCATTCGTGCTTATAACCAGTGAGAGATCGCGCTTGTTACTTTAAATGAAAGTAGTTTTTTAAGAAATAATTACACTGGCAGAACAACGCATTATGCAGCAGTATATTTCTGTACAGCAAAGTGTAGAAGTTACCGTTCAAGATAAAACTGCTTGGCCTGTAAGCAGTAAATTCATCGGCACACAGCTACAAGTATTAAATATGTAATTTTATTGAATCTAAAAATGGTCTATTAGATTATAATTAGAAAATAGCCAATTGGTGTCCTGGTCCGAGGTCTGTTTCTATTATGCAGTGTAATGTAATTTTACTACAGAATGTGTGTTATGTTTACGACATTAGCTTGGGAATATAGAGTCAATATTTATTTTTTTCCATCATTTTAAATGCTTCCAAGTCTGGAGCCAGACACCTGAGGAAGGAAAATACATATCAGCTTGACTGGGTCCACAGACAATATAAGTAAATACTCCTGTGAGAGCCTCCATACTTAAAGGGGAAATTCCACAGATTTCTTTTTAATTCTGCATAATTCAGGTCAGTGAAATGTAAACAAAGTCATTGACAGTAGAGAAACTTACAGACTCAGATTGCTTTATGGTGGTCATAATAGGAGCAAGGAGTCACAATGTCTACAATATAGACATAAAAAACACAATATAACTTTTTATATGTAATCTATGCCATTTACTTGATATTAGTTTTTATATGTAGATGTTAATAACAATAAAATAGTGAAACATATGTTCAAAGAAAGAAAACATATGTTTAAACATTAAAAAAAGTACACCAAAGTTTTGTCTCAAAACTATTGTAAAACAATGTCTGAGGCATAATCATTTCGTGTAGTACCTTTTTGTGAGGGAGTTTATAGAGGAATTAAACTGTCTGGCTCCTATCACCACCAATGTGAACAAGTGACTTGGCAAGTTTCTCTAGAATGGAGCATTTCACATCAAACCATTCTGAATGAATTCCTTTGTTTACATCCTAAGTTAATTATGCAGAAATCTGTAAAATCCTCTTTAAGAAAACTTGAGAAATGTCCTTTTGCACAAGATATAATGAAATATTTACCTACATGACCATTAACACAGGATTAATTTAACCTAGGCCTGTATTTATGAGACTTCTTGGAAGTGTTCCAGTCAATAAAGTCACTGTAAATAAGGGAGGAATTCGATGAGAGATCAGCACTCCTACTCTGAAAAGATTTGTGAATCCAGCCCCTGGGGTTATTTCTGTACTTCACTTTATAGCAGGGAAAAGCCAACAGAATCTTCACTGATGCAGGAGCATGCAGTCTGTAAAACGTACAGGGCGGATTCGGACAGGACTAAAATCACTGCTGGAACAGCGGTAATAATAAAAACATTATCTTATCTCCCCATGTAAAATTAATTCTGTCAAAATAGTACTTCAGATCATGTAAATGTGAATTAAAAACAATATTTAAGGCCTTTGATTTGTTAATTTCACATAAATTAATTCATTTTTTAAGGACAGCAGACATCCTGCTATATTTCAGTATTGTGTTAAATACATTTGCGTTTTCTGTTTATGCATAACCTTCACAATTAAATGGTGTAAAGGAACTATTTTAAAAGGCTAGGGATCTTTTCTAGAGAACTGGAAGGGATAGACTGTGACTAGAGATGCCCAACTTGCTGATTAAAACTGTATGTGTGAGCATGTGTGTAATTCAGTACCTCAGACCGAGATCTGTGACCTGATAGCATCCTGACAGGCTGAGGAACCTGAGAGCTCGACAGGCTCCTGACTGATCAGTCCTCGAGTCGCCTTCAGAAAGGCATTTAGTCCGAAATTCATCGCTGCCCCCTGTGGCCTGGGGCTCACACTGCGCTCCACTCACTGTCCTGATCGCAGTGTCTGAACTGCAGCACGTAGAATGACCACACTGCAGAGAGCCATAAAGATGCTGCCAGTAGGAGGAACCAGCATCAGCACCAGTCCTGTAGCTCCGCCTCCTGCTTCTCCTGCAGCAGCAAGACCCGCCTCCTGCCTGCAGCTCTAAAATGCCGCCATGCCCCTCGTCTTGCGCAGACACACCTCCACGTCTGCTCCAATCAACTGCATCCTCGATGTCAGCCAGCTCAGCTGGATCCAAAACCCAAACGGGGCTGCAGGCCATGCCCTGCCCACCAGGCCTCCGCTTAAAGATGAGAGCCTGCCGGGTGCGTCCCATTGCATAAGCAGAGTGCTCGTCCAGGAGTCTGATGGGAGAGGAAATGCCCTTCAGAAGCTTGGCTCTGCGCTCAGGGCTGTTCTTGGGTATGGTCAGGTCACCTAATCCCAGGGACAGCCTCTTCAGGGTATGATCAGTGATCTTTTCGCAGCCTGATAGGTCCAAATGCTCAAGTGAGCGACATGCTCCCAGCTCTGTCCAACTATGCAAAGAAACACAGGAAAATCTCCATCAGTGACACTGCTACATTTTTTTTTCATTAAAGGTACACATAGAGTTCTTTGTTTTTTTACTTTCTGCACCAGCAAAAGGTTGGTTCCATTAGTCTCAAGATACGAGGTTTTTACACAATCACCTTTTATTCTGTTTGTTGCTGACTAAGATCCCCCTTCATATGTTTAATGTCACTACATAGTTGTGTAATATGTACAATGTTGTCCCTTAGGGCTAAAGAATTTCTGAATTTGAGAACTGCATTCAGAATGTCTAGGCTTAGACTGGTGACAACGTCTGTTTACCGAAGCAGTAAATTGACAACCAGGCAAATGCTGAAGGTAAAACTCACCTGTCAAAAGCTGAATCTGTGATATCAGTTTGCGTGAGGTCCAGGTGTGTAAGGTTTGGGCACAGGCTGAGGATCTGACGCACCTGGGACAGAAATTTAAAAGACACGAAACAAATCAGGTTTGATTTCAACCAGTGCAACATTCAGATTTCAACTGCTGCTTTCTTAGTCTAGACAGTATGACGGCTGATGTGGCTCTCACAAAATGATTTTAGATTCTTATTATTCAAATAAAGCCCTTCTGCTGCTTTGACAGCTCCACTTGAAATAATTTATGAAGTGGGAGGTAGTTTTCCCCTCACCATTTTGCTGGAGACAGCAGCGCTGTAAGCCAGGATAACGGTGCGTACTGACGGCCCCACGGCTGGGAGAAGGTTCTGGATCATTCCATTCAACAACTTCTTCTCTCTGCGCACTGTACTGATGGCCAGAGAATCCTCACATGCTTCTTCTGCACAGAAAAGACAGGTCTGAATAAAGCAGCTGTTTAGATATTTGATTTTTGCTAAAATAGTGTTTCTATTGTACTGAAGCCTTTCCACATTCTTAATGACTTACTGAAAGAATACAGTGGTCGTGCTGCTATGATGGCACTAGAGATCTGTACAGTCAGTCAAGTGTTACCTGATTCATCAACATCCGCATCCTCGTCCCACTCCTGATAGGCTCGCCCTTCCTCCTGCAGGTTCCGAACCCACTCCTCATCTGGATCCTGGTCCAGCTCCCCCGGGGCGCCACGGTAATAATCACCTAGGAAACATAATCAGTTATTCTCACAGACAAGGATACATTCTGTAGGCCAGTGTTTCCCCAGCCCTGATTTTGGAGCCCCCTTGTCCTGCATATTTGGGTATTTTCTCTGCTCCAACACACCTAATCCAGACTACCTAATGTACATTATTATGTACAATTTGTTCATTTTACAGGAGTTTTAACATCTTTTTTTAACACATAAAGAAAATGGGACTCATAGGAACCGTACAAGACCTGGTAAGCTGTAACCATCAAATAAACAGTACTTAGAGCTTTCAGAAAAGTGCAAATAAACATGTGTTGGAAAAGTAATAAAGATAAAGGTTGGACACATTAATTACAGAAAAAAAAAGTTGTGCATTTATTTTGCATAATTTTCTATTAATTATGTTTTTTGCTTTATCCTGACACTGAAATACGAGTAACTTAAACTGAATACATAAACAGCGAAATCTGACTTTTGCACAGTACTTTGTATAATATAAATGACCTATCCATGCTTTGCTCATATATGCACTCTTTTGTAGCAACAGCAAGCTTTGGACAAGGTTTACAATAATTCCTTTTAACCTGAAAATAAACAAGAACGTGTAGTATATTTTGGTCAAAACACTTCAATTATTCAAACTGGACCACTACAGTGTTTAGCATAAGTATTAGTATATAAGTATTAGTTCAGTATAACAACAAAACTTTGAGTTGCCAGTTTAAAATGTTATGGTACTGAGCTGGACTATGCTGTAGCTAACAGAAACAAGACAGAATAAAAATGACAATGACATAGAACTTGGCACTATGCTAATGCTAGCTCAGTTAGCCAAAACAAACCCAACAACAACAACAACACACCACAACACTCAACCTATACTAACAAATGTGACTTTTCAAACCCATTCAAAATAAATAAGACTCAAAAGGAATTAAACTCAAATCTACCTGCCACAACTCTCATTAGGCTGAACGTGATGTTTTCCAATAGTGAATAAAGCAGTGAATAAAACATTTGTGGGTGGAATATGGATCGCTTGACTACACTGACCAAAAAAGGAGGCTGAACCTGCAACAGTACTCAGCTTGATGTTTTTCTCACAGATTTAGGGGAAGCATTCTTCTGGTCTTACAATTCCACACAGGCGACACTGATACAGACTCAGCAAATTGGTCTCTTACCTCTGGCCCAGCGGACTGGGTACAGGTGTCTCCAGAGCAAACCCGTTTTAACTACCTGTGCCCAGGTACTGCACACCTGGCTGCAGCGGCACAGGTCCTCCGGTCCCAGGTACTGGAAAAGCCGCACCAAGAGCTCCTCCGGCAGGGCCGAGATGTGTGTGTATGTGCGATTCTCACGCTCTACTAGACGAGAATAACACAACAACATACACATTGTTACACACCAGATGCACTTATGAGGCAAGAATATCTGCACCACACATCGTGACAGACGTGATGGTAGTTTGGGTAAGACTGGACTTTACACAGGAAGGGCATTTCCAAACTGTCAGCATCATATTTTCGTCAGCTGTAAATAGGAAATAACTGCACTTTTTACTTTATTTTTCCACTAATCATATATGTGAGGTTTTGTGTACCATAATAATAATACTAATAATAATAATTTCTACATCTTTCTCTCTTTCCCCCTTAGCTGTATTGTTATGGATATACCCAAGTCTATACATACAGCTATATGCTGAAGTTTGGGCACCCCTAATGTTTAGCTGATTTTCTAAGTGAGAAATTAGTTAACATACTGAAAAAGGTTATAACACATTTTATATTTTTGTGTTAATGTAATCTGACCAGGGGTGGTTCAAACTCTTGCATATGACCACACATGGAAAATACTGCCTATCAGCATCGGTCAACAGTTTCTACATAGGTGCAACCCTAACTACAGATGTGGTCTTGTGGTTTCAGTGTTCAGTTGATTTCTCTTGAAGATGCACGCTGCACAAATTTAAATTCCTGCTGCAAAAGGCTTTTTGTGCTCTTCTACTACTACATTTTATCAGGCCTGTGAGGGAGCAACATTAAATATTTAGACTGCTGCACTGTAACACTTCTTATTGGCCTGTCCGCTTCCAAAACAAACGCAGCTTCAAGAATCACACAAAGTCACAGACGAAACCAGGATTGGAGGTACTGGTAGACAAATGTGCCTACCCGAGTTCAGTTAAGCAAGGATTTCACACCATTATAGGGGTGTCACACTAACAAATTAAAACGGCATAGTGACAAGGAGCTGATTTGATGTTAGCCCATTATGTCATTATCTTATGTTTGTTTTCTTTACATATTTTTGGATTTCATTTTAACAGCTAAGAAAGCTAAATTAAATTGCTTATAGCAGAATTTCCAGAACTCATAATACTAAATATTATAATATGTATTACTCATCAGGAAAATGTAATGCAATATTTATAATATTAAAATATTTATTTTTTGTCATATTGTTCACCCCTGATTTCCCCTATTCTTAATCTGGTAACCTTAAAGCAGCTCTCACCATCCTCAGTCTTCTCGTGGTCTGAGTATTTGAAGGCCTTGTGCAGCTCCTCAGCCTGGCTCCAAAGATTTAACCCCTTCAGCACCTCCTCAGCCTTGTCCCACTGCTGGCTGCAGTGCTGTGCTATCACCTGCCTCTTAATGGCCTTCAGCTCCTCATAGGAGAAGTATTCCATCAGCATGGGCTGGAACACCTAAGACAGGTTGCACAAGACGTGCGTGAGGGGGTTAAGCAGGAGCAGTGGATACGTCTACATGTATTATTTACGTTGATATCTGCATGCTGCTGTAATGTTATTAGCAGACAACATACATCTAACTCCCTGCATAGTCATGGTATGAATGTGGGTTTATGAATGACAACTCTGTTGTTAAGGACGCTGAATTTTGTGGCACATACTGTAGCCAACATACTGCAATCACTTCAGTTTATTTTATGTAAGCTCTTTATTTACTGTCAGTTTTTGTTGGTTTTCCAGTGTTACAGACCTTTTGAATTTATTTACTGTATTATGATCATCTGTTGTCTGAAGTAATCGAGTTTCCTATTTCCTCTTAACTGGGTCACACACATTTTGTTGAAGTATTGCTCATAACATTTTTCATCGCCCAACTCTAGCTGAAGCACTACATCAAGAACATACTATATAGTGTTATGTAGTATCATGTTCATCACATGATCACTCATTCATGCTGTGATCATATGCCTGAGCTCTTGGTTTTCCAAGGCAACTGACATTACACCCTGACCTATGGTCTAACAACAACACTCTTCATTTTAATGTTATGTAGACTGAGTCAGTGTAATTTTTTCCTAGTTGAGTGTGATAAAGGTTTCTTGGTGTCTTACCTCCTCTTCCTCCTTCATGTGAGGGAGGAAGTCCTGGGTGAAGGCCTCTAGCCGCTCCTTCAGCTGCCGTGCATAGTTCAGCTGCTCACACTCGCTCTGGGGAGGTTAGAGCTTAACATCACTTAAAGCACACATAGAACATCATCAGACAATGCAACACTATATACACGCATACATGAACACATGCAAAAGTATGTGCAAAGAAAAAAAGTATTTTATTTCCTCACGTTCTAACAATTTTTGAGATGATCTGAACCCATTTAGTGTGACAAACATGCAAAAATAGAAGAAATCAGAAAGGAGTGCAATTTTTTTTCACAGCACTGTAGATCAACATCCAATATGAGCAGCGTTCATCCTAAGATTACCCTCTCCTGCAATACCACCACAGGTGACTATCACAGGTCCATTTTTGTGTACCACGCTGAAGATAAATGCCCCTTAACAACAGCTTCCTGTGACGTCAAACTGGAGCTCATGCTTCAAGTCACTGCTTAAAGCATTGTAATTACAAGCTGATGTTCGGAGGACCAGTTGTAGCTGTAGCCAGTTGATACACTAAAAACTGCTTGCAATTACATTAACTCTCTGATCACACAAATCTGATGCGCTTATGAATGTTCAACAAAAAAAAAAAAGTAAAAATATACTTGCTGTAAATAAGAGGGAAAAAAAAACAGTGATTGGAGGCTCTGTCTAGACAAAAGTCTCACAGGGCTGGAAGTGACCTCGTAATGAGAACATCTGAGGACAACCATGACTAATGTACAGCTAGATGTGGGTGGGAGCGTACACCTTTTAGGATGGGAACAACAATCATGTGCCGTTAGCACATGAACGTAAAGCGAGTTAACATAGCAAAAAAATAAATAATTAAATAAATAATTAAAATGGGCAAGTATTTGTGGGTCACATGCATAGAACAAATCACACGTGGTAAAAATAAACATTTCCTCTTGCAAGAGGAAAAGTAGCTCCATTAGCTAACAGCACCTCCGGTAAATAACAGCAGCATGTGACTAGTGAGCTTGTTCTGCTTGTGTTATCATTTGTACTCTAAATGTTAAAAGAGCACAGACTAGAGGAATTTGGGGGCGAGTTTGAGAGAAAGCGTGTGCTCGGTTGCGGCAATCCAGCAAACAAAAGTTTGGCATGTTGTCCCCAGACATGTATTCTTGTTATTAGATCTACATCTACAATGTTATTAAGACAACAAGGTTTTTTTTTTCATTTTTTCCCATCTGTTTTTTGAAAGTAGTAGTGGGCAATATAACAAAAACACAATATCACAATATTTCAGGGACAAGTTGTAAGTCAAAAAAGGGGGGTAGATTTAAAAAAAAAAAAAAAAAAATTACTATCTGAAATTATGAAAACAAATCATTTTACGCAGTGTTCCACACACTGTGCTGCACTAAATTAATTTAAACAGGCATAATTATGCTGTCTTTATAACTAATCATGCAATTGTTCAGTATTCTTTAAGTACTAATAATATCTTCTCAGTAAACCGTGGTGTTACATATTGCAATGTGGTTTATGGTGATACTGATTTTGTCATATTGCCAGGCCTATTTGAAAAGATCCAAAACAATTCATGTAGCAAAAAAGGAGTGCACACTTTATTGAATGTTCCTATGATCAACTACGAACGATCACAACATTTCAAAATTGATGCAGCTGAAGCGGCACTATCAGAGCAGTGCGTCTTTACAGCCCTACGTAAAATTATTTTACCATTCAGAAACAACGGGTCATAAAATTTCCCTGTTTTACAGCACTGTGTCATATTTAATGCATTGAAATACACTTTACATATAATGAGCATGCTACAAGCAGACGAACACTCTGAAATTAACGTGCTTTGGCAGAACTGTAGTTGAGGGTGGCACTTTAACAATGTGTCACATTCCTGTTTTTTTGGAGAGACGCATGAAAGCAGGCTTTTTCCAACAATTTCATATAAACTAGGGTGTTTTCATCTACCAAATCAAAGAAAACGGAACACGAAAGGAATGTAAGAGGAAAAGTCCTTTCAGAAACACACGTCATGGGTTTACATCAGCTACTGGCTGCCCTTCACAGCGCCAAAACACCCTGAGTCATCCCAGCACAGCAAAGCGCCAGTCCCCACCCGGCGCAGTGTGGGCAGTAACAACACTGCCCTGGACTTGGATAAAGAGTGGGAGTGCAAGATCTGATCTAGGATCAGAATCCTCCGACACTGTCTGCACTAATCTTAGCTACAACTGAATTCAGATCTGTTATGAAAGCTGCTCCTGGTTGCATTCCCTGGCTGAAAAGACTGTGCAGTGCAATAGACTGTGAGCTAACACGACACCCTCGCTCACTGCCATTTTGGGACCGACAAACAAAACTCTACTGTTTCACGCTTTCGCCACAGGTTACTGTTCCCAAATCTTCCCACTATAAGATCATTTTTGATAAGCTGGATGTGTCCATCTAGTACTATTCTTCACTGAGCACTTAATGTAAATAAACGGATCAAAAAATAAACACGATTTATTTACATCAGTTTGCTCATTCCATCCTGTTACTGGCAGGAGTTGGAACAGAATGTCCTAATTTCTTTTGGCCTCACTGAGTGGAAAATTACTCAATTGGCATTGGGAAAGACAAGTTGGACACACTTTAACTGTTGACTGTTTCTCAATTCTGGAGATTTTTCTCTTATCGAACAGCATCAGCAAAGCTTTGCAGTAGCACCAAAGAATGTTTGGAGGTAAAAACCACAATAAGAAATGGTTGAAACAGCACCAAGACTAGTTGTGAGTTCATGAACCAAAACAGATTCAGTGAATATACTGCATGTATTGTGGGTGAAGCCCTACAGCTTTATTGCTGTAGTACCACTATGACTGGTTTGCTGATTTCAGTGACTCCTCACTGGGGCTGATGCAACTAATGCCTCAGCAAAGTAACAACCATCTGACGTGACCACTAGCATTAATATCCAAAGGTACCTGGAGCAGCAGTTCCAACACCTATTATTATAGCAGTGACATACCTGCAATGGGCCTGGATAGCTACTATACACAGATGTCACTGTGTTCCCGCAGACAAACAAGGTCAATCCCTCCCACACACAAGAAGCCAGGGTCACTCCTCTTACTTACAACAGGGCACAACATGACTTGCTGTCCCAAATAAACAGTCCAGACACTCTTTCTATTTCGTGACTTCAGCTTTATTCATACTTTTACAACTGCCAATAGAATGGGATGCTCTGGAGCAGCCACACATGGGCCTAATATCACCATGCCCAATGCAAAGCGTCAGCTGGAGGGTTATAAAGTAAACCAGCAATGGGCTGTGGAGCAGAGGAACAGTGTTCTTTGGAGCGACAGAGCTCCATCCAATACCTTTGCGGTGAGCTGGAGTGGAGTCTGTGATCCAGAACTGATCACTCAACATCAGCACCTGACATCACTAATGCTCTTGTGGCTGAATGCAACTAAATCCTCTAAGTAATGTTCCAGCGTCTGGTGTAAAGGCTTCCCAGAAGACTAGAGGCTGTCACTGCAGCAGCAAGGGGAAATGAAAATACCTTTATTTATAAATATGGAAACCCACCTTGACATTCCTGAGCCCTTTTTCAAAGAGCGAGAGCATCTCAGAGAGCTTGTTGTCAGAGTGCACATTGTAGATGGTGCGGCTGCGCTGCTGCAGCAGGTCGATTATGTATTCATTCTCAATCTGCTCGTGTATCTTGAACACCTTGAAGGTGGCACAGAGCGTCTGCAGGAACGCGCGGAAATCATTGTTGTTGGAGAAGTTCGTCTTCGACAGCTGTGGACAAAAAGACAAAAAGAGAAAAACATCTGTATTCAAAGCAGGACAGCTCAGCAAACGAAAGATGTGTGTTGAGATACAGATCTGACTTTCTCACAATCCCTAAACTATTTGTTAACCATAAACGTGATTAGCTGATATGACACTTTCAGTATAGTGGTATGAACGTGTGCGGCCTTTTCGCTCTGGTCACCTTCATACGACATTGCCACAAAATATGGCTCAATGCCAGAAACCATCACATCTTCTAGCAAGCCAAAATAGAAGGGCTTTCAACTGCAATGTTAAATTGAATCACTAATACACTGACAACCTGAAAATGCTCAATATGATGCTGAAAGTTGTTTCTTTAATTCTATTATACTGCCACTTCTTACAGAGAGGCTTTATAAAGGCTTTATTCCTGGGATTTTTTTTCCAGCTTTGTTGCTGATGTACTGCTGTTAAGTTCTCAAACTTTTCTACAACACTCCTTCAGGCATAAACAGCTTGGCATGGTGAGCAGCGGTCATGCTTGATCCTATTTATGTAATCTTCATCCACAACCTACCTACGTTCAGCTATAAACAGGCATGGGACAGCAAGGCATAGTGTTGTTGTTTTTTTAAATGCAGGGTTAGATAAGTACATTAATTCAAGCGCCAACTTAGCTACAACCACCTCCCTACACAGATACTGTAACGTTAACCAGATAGTGAGGTAAACATGGTCGGTGTGGCTGCAGCCCTGACTCTGTAGCACGTAACGCACGTATTAGATTAGCCAGCAGCTAACGGAGAACGCTAGCTGAGAGAGCTAACTTTGCTAGCTAAGGGGTGTGACCGTTTAATGACCACACAGTGAACTCGCAGTTTAAGGTTTCGTTTACTTCCCCAAAATATAACACAGTCGAACGAGATTACAACCCGAGCTAAAGGACCACAAATGCTAAATTTACAACCTGCAGCTCGCTAGCTAAATCGTTAACGTTAGCAGGCTTAGCTGCTAACTAGTCCAGCATGACGATTCGTTTTACTTGTGGAACATTTGAGCAATTTTATGTATTGATTTTAGCGATTCAAATCTTGTTAATATTATTTACTAACTGGCAACGTCAGTAAACATTACCTAGACTCAAACCGAATTCAGCCATAACACCAACCTACAAGTAGGCTAACGCTAACGTTAGCTATTCGCAAAGCTCAATAAACGCATCATAAACCTGTTTCAGCTTTAGCTACGGCAAGTCAGCCGTCTATTATATAATCTTTGAGACTTTGACCATGTTGCAAACTTTCTTTGAACGTTATATACCACGTTATATGCATATATTGGACAACAATAACAAACAATCTGGGGTAACGTTAGCGGGCATAGCCTATAGCACAGTGAAGGCTGGCTCGCAGCTAGCTTAGCTAACGCTGAGTAACTTAACTAGGACTGCCAGGTGTAGTTGACGTTAACCAGCTCGCCTGAAGAATCAGGGAAACAAGGTTTTGAACACAGTCAGATTAATGCAGTACCTTGTCGCAGTAGAGGCCGACAAGCTGCTTCATCCGCCAATGCGGCCCAGTGAACACGTCCACCTCATCGGGGAACGGCGCCATCGCGCTCCATGGACTCAGCGCAGAGTGGAGGACGGAGCTTCAGCGCAGCACCATCAGATCAGCTCAGTTCAGAGCGGCTGGGTGGGCGGAGACCACCAGACAGACAGACAGAGAGGCAGACAGACAGAGAGGCAGACAGACAGTTCTGTTCACGGTCTTCACTTTTCCCTTACTCTCACTGCATACTATCCTGCATTTTTAACATAATAAGATATGTTCACTTAGTGAATCTCAATTTTAAGCTTAAATTAAATTCCACTGATTTTCTAAATATTTGCAAAAGTACATTAAGATGTGAAGAAAGTCATTCAGAGTGTGTTTTTATGTGAGATGCTGAGTTCTAAAGAAACGGACTTTCACAGCGGTGATGATCTCCGTTTGCTGAAGAAGAGCTCCACTTCTGCTCCTACTCTAAACACCCGTCAGTCCCTTATTGGCATCTGACATAAGGAAGTGGCCGCTACGCCGTCTGGAAATGGCACATACTGGCATGCGCCACTTAGCGAATGGCACCTGCCACCAGTCACGCCACCCGGTTAGTGACATTCGCCAGTGGCACCTGCCACATAGAAACGGCGCGTACCAACAGGTCCCGTGAGTAAGGCAGTGACTCGGCTAACGAGCAGCACACGATCATAGATCCACCATCCAGCAAATATTACACGAACCACAGCTGATGTGGCCTGGGTGAGCGGGTTAGACATATAGCTCAGTTAGCTTACCCTTAACACGGCGGCTTTATGTGTACACTTACTTTACACGTGCAGAGATAAAACTTTACCGTAAGCAGGCTTAAAGTAAGCATAATATGAAGCTTTAAACAAACAAACTTTAATTGTTGAACGTATGTAAAATGCGTATGCTGTAATAAACCCATAGAAACCATGAAGTGTTTCTCTTGGTTTCTGACGGTTTTCTAATGTGTTTTGGCTTATGGTTTAACCGGTAACCGGTGGCTGATTCATATATATATATATATATATATATATATATATATATATATATATATATATAAAAGGTATCCCTTCTTGAGTGGTAATATGCATAGCGACACATACTACCAGCACAAACAGTCGCTGTTTACATCAGACAGGTTACAAACGGGAGACCGGTGTTACGGTAAATTTCCCCTCATTGCGCATGTCGAAATCGTGACGTCTTCAGTTGACGCTGCCCTGCGGCTTAATTCGTATGTGTTTGTACCGTTATTTCGTCTTGTTCCTCGCGGTAAACGAATTATAACGTTGTTTGTAAAATGACTTGTAGTTAAACACGTTTTAAAGTATGAAATGTGCTGTTAGCAGATGTTTTAATGACCAAACACTACGTGGGTTATCTTGCTAATGCTAGCTTTGGCTCCGTTTTCAACTACTCCGAGAAAGATAGATTTAATGCGCTATTTCTGATATAATTTCCGTACATACAGACACTCTGTTGTTCAGACCTCAGTGATTTTAAAGGTGTATTTATGTCCCATATCCTCACCAGTCTCACTAAATTGTGTAAATAGATTTGAATCATTTGTTGCTGAAATAAATAAACTGCATTACACAGCACAGTTTGTAGTCTGTGTTATTATTGTTAGACTACTTATCTAAGTGCACCTAGGAAGTTGGTTTCCCTATTGTCTTTCAATAAAGTCTTACTGTTATGGTACTAATATGACATTTCTTTACAGTAACTTTTAGTCACACTGTACCACCTTTACACTGAGAATAGAGGGGGGACATCTTTAACCAGAGAGAGAAAAGTTGTTTCCCCTTGTATATTATAGCTGGAGTGGTTTTAAAGTACAACGATGATACTAATAATCTATATCTGTGCATGATCATTTCACTCAGTAACTTTTATTCATATTATACCACCTTTAGAACTGAGAATAGAGGAGGAACATCTTTAACCAGAGCCTGAGAAAAGTGGCTTCCCCTTGTATATTGCAGCTGGGGTGGATTTAAAGTGCAGTAACAACCTGTGCGAGATCTTTTCACTCAGTAACTTTTATTTTTTATTTTGTTATAACACCCTGTTGTAGTGTAGGAAAAAAAACCTTTAAATAAAAGCCAGTTGAATGCCCCCATTTTATTTTCACTCCATTTCCAAAATAAATATACATTACTACTTAAAATTATCTCTTGTTTATTCTCATTCATTATTCTTTATTCGGTCCCCTCCAAATTCACAATATGCGGTGACAGCAGGGCACGACCTGCAGGAGGCGCTGTTGCTGCTCTAACCATAGACTGAGGCAGCGCTGCCTCTGCTGGGCTTTCAGAGATTTAACTCCAGCTCGGCCAATCAAATCAGACCTCATAAGTTGTGAGCCAATCACATTAGACCTTGTAAGTTGTGAGCCAATGATATCAGACCTGGGGGAGGGTCTCTGCTTTTACTCGCCGTTGACAACCCCCGCAGCTGCGACAGGATTAACATTAGACTTTGTCCAGAGTCTCTAATACACAGAGTGGAACAGTCAGTAGTGACAGAGTCAATATTACCACCTACAATATGGATTTGAGGTCACTTATGGTCAGAATAGCTGGATAGAAGGGTTTTACTTCTTGGCTGACTTTGGGTTCATGTGAGGCAAAGAACAGAGTTCAGGCTCACACTAACATTAGCTAGATAGCTGACAAGACAACTAGTGTAAGAAATTGAAGAAACTTCTCTTCATAGTGAGACTTTCAGAGTGTGAATGGGCGACAGAGATAGAAATAATAACGCTGACAGGTCTTTATATTCTTTGTTTTATTTCTCTTCAGTATTTGGAAACATTGACACCAGTTGTTGCCATATATTGTTGTTTACAGTAAGTTAATGTCAGTGTAAAGGCCATATACTGTTGATCACAACACAGTTTTATATCCCTCAATTCCTCAACCTGTAGATGGAAATTAAAAGGCAGAAGGTTCATTGAAGGCCAGTCTGATGAGAAAATTTGCATCAGTTAAAAATGACTAATCTGTCATTATGTTTTTTTAGTTCTTTTAAATCTGAGTTTAATAAAATAATGTTTTACTAAACACAGGAAGAGAGGAAGAGAAAGAAGCTGAAGGAGGCTGACAGGACTGAAGGAGCAGATCTGATGGAGGTTAGTGATCAAGAAGAAAGTGAGGGAGAGCTGTTTAAGCTTTCAGTTAAAATTAATACTGAATTTAATTTAACTTAACTGAGATAATATTTGTGGCTATGACCAAGTTCTGTCATCCAGCTTATTAAACATGCCTACAGAGCAAAATCACACTCTCTCTGATTGCACCAACTAAGACTCAACTGATCTACAATCTGTATTTGAATAAGATATTGTACTGTCCCGCTACTGACTCAATTTGTGGAGTGGCCATGCAGAGCAGCCACGTGCGAAGGCTCTCGGGAGGTGCCGGTTCTGGTAGGAGAGACTTTAATGTTGTAAATCAGTTGTTGATGTTAGTAAAGGTGGGTGATATGTGTTGTTTGGGCTTTGTTGTGCTGGGCTGTGGAGCTGTTTAGTGGAGTTGTGTGACTGAATGGACATTGTGTGGTTGGAGGTGACCTGCGTGCTTCCAGGCCATTTCAGCCAGTGGTGAACTGCGGTTCTCCCCTGCTGCTTGTTCACTGAAGTCGCCTTTAAACCACTTTTTCTCCGACCATTCTTAAGAAAAAAATCTTCTTAAAATCCACTTGTGTAGTTTTCTCAACGATTCTGACATTCACCAATGTTTTCTCATTTGGAATTTGCTCTTAGGTAAAAATCTGTGCACACTCAGGAGTACAAAGCTCTGAACAGTTCTGTGGTTTAAGCACACGTCATGAATCTGAGGTCGACTTTTTCTTAGGACCTTCTTCACGAGCAAATTTAAGAAAAAACTTAGGAAGATGTTGGTGAATAAGGCCTAATGTTTCTGTGTCTTATGCTATGCAGACTCCACAATATTTAGGACCACACCTCCAATGTGTGGTCTCTGGTAAATAAGAAAGATGACTTGGGCATTCTTATCAGCTCAAGACGAGACTTTGCTGACTGCTCTGTGATGTGTTTTACAGAAATGTGGCGGGATGGGAACATTCCTGACTCTGCACTCCACCAGAAGGGCTTTACTCTGCATTGAGCCGACTGTACGGACACCTTACTTCAACAGAGAGGCGGTGGACTGTGTTTTTATGTTAATCAGTGGTGATGCACAGACACAGAAGAGCTTTCAAGTATATGTTCTCCAAATTTGGAAGCCTTTACTATAAGCTGTAGACCTTTTTATTTATTGGTTGCTGTCTATATCCCACCACAAGCCGTTGCCCTCCTTGCGATGAAACGTTTGGCCACGCACATAAAGCAGGTTGAGAACTCTTATCCAAGCTCTGCTGTTTTTATTTTGGGAGATTTTAATCATGTTAGCCTCAGTAAATCATTACCAAGAAATAAGAAGCAGATTTATATCGCTACCAAAGGAGATACAATTTTGGATCAGTGCTACAGCACTATCTCTGGAGCATTTTATATAAGGCAAGGAACATTGCTTTTAACGGTGGTGATAAAGAACTATGTAAGAAAGCTAAGTATGAATTTCAGAGGGCAGTGAGGCAGGCAAAGAAAAAGTATAAGGTTAAATTAGAGGATAAATTACTAACAGAAGATAGTAGGGTTGTTTGGGGATTCTGGTCGTGGCGTCAAATGACCTGAAGCAGATTTACTAGATTTCAACATTAGGATGAATTTGAAAAATAGATTTTGGTTGAGAAGACGACGTCAATAAAACTTTGAAATGTGACTTGAATTTGTAGGCGTTTTAAGGCTTTGTTATTGGTTTAACTGGCTATTAATAAAGTGCTAAGAGTTTAATTTCTTTTCTACATTTGAGGACTATATTGGAGCACTGTTAGATATGTTCATGTATTTTCTGCTCTTATTCTCAAAATGATTTCTACAATAATGTACAGTATTTAAGCCAATATGTTACTTTAACAGGTTTATACAGCATCCCATGTAGAATTCTGGGAAACGTAGCTCTCATAATATGACACGTATTGTTGTTTTTGCATCATGATACATTTTCTGTGCAGAATTTAAGTATCCGTATTAACTAGTGACACAAAACAAACTGT